AATATGGAAATATGGTATGATGGTGAGGAGGTTTCGCAGAGGAGATGGCGACTGAGGGCAAGGTGTGCGTAGGCATCATGTATGTCCCAGTCGAGGCGTGCCACGGTGTAGCATTCGCCGAAATGCCTGGTTGAAAGCGTAGTTCTACGGCGTCTGATGCGCCAGACACTCTGTAAGGTGTATGTAGTCTAGGTGCCGTCCACGTTGGCGTACGTCAAGGAGGGCCACTGACAGAGGCACGCCGGCCCCCAAAGAGCGCTCTCATGCCATGTCATGTCATTGCAGGCGCCGGCAGCACTGTGGTAGCAAACACCGGGCAGGCTCGAGAGCGCAGCAGGCGCCGGGGTGCGGATGGCGAATACCTAGGTATCCGTACGGATAGGTATGGACGAATATCCGAAGAGTCGTTCATTCCGTCGGTTGGAGTTGAGTCGAGTCATTCCTGGTCGAGCCGTGGCCGTCTCGACAGAGGGTGTAAGTGTGCAGCAGTCCGGCGTCGAGATGACAGGGATGAGGCAGTGGCGGGTGCTTGGAAACGGGTCCCGAGAAGCTTGAAAGGCAGGCAGATGTGTAATGAAAGCCGTTAGAGGCACTGGATGATTGGACTCGGTACTTGGGTGGTCTTGGCGAGTTTTGGGTGGTGTTCTCAGGTTATTTTGGGGCTGGCGACCGGATCCTGGGACTGGGGAGCTGTCTAGGTAGGCTGCCAGGGCATGCGGTCCGAAGGTCGTGAGGGATGAGATATGAGATGAGATCGCCGGAGAGTTATCGTGCCTGGCTGATCTTGTGTCGAGCGGGTGCTGCGACTGGTCGGGGTTTCCTTGGAACACTGAAAGAGGTCCTCTGGGATGGGTAAAAGTGGGAAACGAGAAGGCGATGATGTGGTTCTGTGTCTTTCTGAAGCAGACAGAAAGAGTGTTCATCGGGCCTTCCTCCGTCCAGTCGTCCAGTACCATTCCCCATTCCAGGAGGGCAGGATCAGGTGCAGCAGGTGCAGCTGGACCAGCAGGTGCCTGGCTGTGGCCCTAGCTTCCCTAGCTACACCTCACCTGCCTTCAGCTGTCTTGGAAGGCACCTACGGCAGGTACTTGCTGCGATACCTGCCTCGCAGGCAAAGTAGAGGTTCCCTTTTGACTTTCCATGCCCTTCCTTCCTAATCAAATTGAAGTGCTCTTTCCTCCAAAGGCTATTTCTTTTTAAAGTCGTAAGTAGAGAAGGTGCCATGCCCCGAGGTAATAGTTATTCTTTCTAATTACTGCACACATTCCTAAGAGCCTCTTGCCTCACCTGTATCCTACCTCTACCACTAAAGTGTAAGGCAGGTGGAAGGAAGGTAAACCCCTGCCTTCCCTCAAGACACCCAGTGCCTGCTTCCCGGGCCCCTCCCCTCCATCTCGTGCTCCGTCCTCCATCCTCCTCCTCCACCCTTCCGCCGCCATCCTTGGATCCCTCACCTCGCCCTTCCCCTTTCAGCAGCACCACCACCGTCCTGTTTGCCTTTGCCAGTGTTGGTGTTCTCCCCTCCCTATTCCCCCTCCCCTGGAAGCTTCCCTCCTCTCCACCATGCAGCTGGCAGACTTCACCTCAGCATCGAGACCCAGGCTGTCTGGGTCTGGCCAGGGCACCGCAGCGCACCCCTCACATATCCTTGCTGCTTGCTGCTACGGCTGCTGCGTTGCTGCTGGTTGATGCCCTCCACGGCCCACGGCGCTGTGCGTCACATTCAAGATGTGCACCCTCCCTCCGCCTCTTGCAAACGAGGAAGGGGCAGGAAAAAAAAAAGTAGAATGCCCTTGTACTTAGATGAGAGAGATCCTCCGCATGCAAGACCTCTTTGCCCTACACAGACACCCGACTTATTCTTTTTTTGCACGTCCACCTACCTCACGCCCATCCAGGTGTCTCTGTGACGGACGGCTATTTGCTTTTCCTCTCGCATCATAACGTAACCGACGCATGCCCAGACTTTACAACACCATTCTTGAGCTTCTTCTCTTCCCAGTTGTCTTATCCTCTCCCCATTCCACGCCGTCCGCGCCGCTGCTCCCCGCAGCCAAGATACTGGACTCCTTCTCCGGCGCATGTCTACCACGAACTCGGGTCCCGACTGTTGCGTACCTTTCCGCTGCATTCTTCCCGCTTGGGTACTTCCAAGGTGGCTCCATCTCGTTTAGCCAAGCTCATCTCTGCGCGGCGCACCGTCGACTCGACAGCTGCCATCCCGGTCAACGATCACCTGCTCACCTCATCTTGTCGGCCTGGTCTGGTCTGGTCTGGTCTGCTACCCAAAGTCACAGCAGCAGCAGCAGAACCCAAACCATATTTCCTGACCCTTCGGACCTAGGAGACGCGCTACCGCAACGCCACACCCCGTCTCGTTAGAAGTCCCTCTCCTGTATCGACAACAACACCATCTCCAGGCAAATCTGCGCCTTGTGAGGCCCCGCCAGCCTTGGCATAACCGCCTCTTACATACGCCGAACCGCTTCCATAAAAGAAGACACTCCGCAGCCAAACCCACGCGCGTCCACGATACCCAGCCCTGTTCAGCTTTGCCGAATCACCAACACCGGACTTTTTTCTCCTCTTTGCCCAATCTTTTTTTTCGGATCCTCCTCCTTCGAAATTTACCTTTTGGTCGACCAGCCTTATTATACAGAAGGTTTCCCGCACATGGCAAAGCAAAAGTAAAAGCCAATACCACATCAGACTTCACCTGAATCAGCATCGACCCGTGCCAACAACCACGACTATCGCCCTCTGCCTGTATCTGTACCGTCGCACCCGTCCGAGCTATCGTATCTGCCAGGAGCACACAACGGCCAGAAACGCTCTGACCGTCTCTGTTCGATTCGCAAGCCAGTCGACAGACGCCCCTTTCCTACTTTAGACCGTGTAGTCAGTCCACCATCAGCCATCTCCGCGCGTAAATCCACACCGTTGGGGCTATTTCTTTCTTTCAGCTGGTCGGTCCACGGAAGACGTCTCGTTTCGCGACTGCGATCCACTCTTTTAGGGGTCCAGCCGAAGTGCGACTTTGCAACCAACATCTGCTGGCCGCGAATTGCTCCCTCAGTCCCTCATGCTGACCGGGTTTCCACAGCTGTCGTGAAGCCTACCGATGCGGCCAACAGACAACTGGCGTAGCGTGTTCCTGCTGCCCCAAAGCTCCAAAAAGAAGAGCAAGAAAACCACAAAAGACACACCCTCGCCACCGCTGCCCCCGCCGCCGCGCAAGATATCTTTGCCAAAACCTTCACCGCCACCGCAGACTCAGAACCCTTCCCGACGACACACGATGTCGGGTCCTAGCCCCCGTACGACGCTCCCCGTCCAGAGCCCCGACTCGGCGGACATTTCGCCCAAGACCCCGTTGCAGCCCAAAGACAAGTCCAAGGCGGATTACTTCTCCCTCGAGTCGCAGAAGAAAGAGGAGGATGCCAAGGGTGGAGATGCTGGAGCACTAAGCCGTGCTACGACACTCTCGAGCTTTGCAAGTCCGTCTTTGGAGAGCGCAAAAGGAAGCTTCTCTGCCGAATCGTCCAGGACCGAGTCGTTCGCCGGAAGGCATAGGGGGTCGTCGATAGGATCGCTGACGTTTGCACCGGTTCGGAACCTATCGCTGCCGCAAGGAGCCAAGAGAACAACAGACAAGGAGCGCATTAGAGCGTCGTCTCCTGCTCATGACAGGTAAGCGCAACAATTTCCTCGCTGTCTCTAGTTTGAAATGCACACTCCACCAGAGACGTTGAACGTTGAGGCTCCGAGTTGGGGCAGCCGAACCTTTTGTAAGGTCGAGCGAAGATGGGCAATGTCGCCGGCAAAGTCGGATGCACAAGCTGCAGTGTGGCTTGAGAGCCAGTCTAGCTCATATGCTTATGCTGCCTTACCTACCGTGATATCTATATGCCTCACGCAGTGCAGCAGCTCTTCCAGTCCATTGGCAACATGGAACGAATGAAGACCCCCCTGGATCCAGTTACAGCCGACGTTTCCGCGGCATATCTGCATGCCGACTTGTCCAGGCTGGCGCAAACAACAGTACATGAAGGATGGTTTGGACTTGTACGGTGCGGCCGTCACTCACACGTACCCACCTCTTATGACTTCCCAAAGCAGCAGTTGGGCAGCATGCTTGATGCGGGGAGAATGCGACTGTCACCTGGCTGCCCATTGAAAGCTGCCAAAGACGGGGGACGGGTGATGCGGGATGCGGGTGCTGACTCCAGTGTCTGACGGTCGTAGAGCTGGGCCGGGAATGGCGGGGTTCGACGACACTGCCGCCGCCGCATCCCAAGTCTAACCTTAGTCATGACGGCGTCTTTGCGGGAAAGGACCCCTTCGTCATGCGAAACAAGCATCAACCGAGTTGCCAATGTTGTTGCTAGGACGAACTGCCTGGGATTACGCCCACTGCACAAACAACAAACAACAAAAACTGTCCAACAGGCGGAGGAGGAAGGCGTCGTTGTCCACGGTGTTGAAGCCTCTCTGCCACCGCCGCACGATTTATTCCCCTCCATCCGAATGCAGTGGCCAGCAGAACGTTGCAATTTCCCACACAATCACACGACACTGCTTGAAGAGGAGGCGCTGCAATTCGCCGGGGCTGTTCATCACTGACCCCACTACCCCGCTGATTGCGCCTGTGCCTCTTCGTTTACCCTTCACAAAGGAGGCCGAGGAGGCGCCAAAGTCGCTCATCCACAGCCACGCTTGGCCCGGAATGAGCCGTACCTAAGCTGGAGGGAATGGACGCTGTCAGTGCTGTGTCGCAATTCATCCACCCAATTTCCCTGCTTTTGGTATCGGCTGCCTCCAGGTCTCTGTCTCACCACCAAACGCAACACCCAAAGCGCTTGTCGATTTTTCTTCTCCAATCTTGGCCAGTCGCCGTGTCCATCTTCACTCTCCACAGCTTTTCTATCGCGTCTTTCTCAAACAAAAACTACGTCGCATAACTCCTTGCGGGCTCTGCTTCCCGCTGACATCGTTTCTTAATGGCAACGCTAACTCAAACCCCCACGCCGGACAGGTTCCAGACACATGTCGCATTCGACAATTTGCCGCTGGGCGAGGCCACTAAGAACAACACGCCGTCGCTGACGTTGAATGTCAGACATAAGGGGTACCAGGCCCAGAGGAGGTCGCGCACATTCATGGTCGGCGTCGACGAGCACTCCTATTCCGACTATGCGTTGCAATGGCTGCTCGACGAGCTTGTCGATGATGGCGACGAGATCGTGTGCGTGCGCGTCATTGAAAAGGAAGTGCGCACCGATAACGATGCATACCAAAAGGAGGCCAATAATGTCATGGAGTCGATCCTCAAGCGCAACGGCGCAAACCGAGCCATCAGTGTTGTTTTGGAGTACGCCTGCGGAAAACTGCACTCGACCTTCCAGAAGCTGGTGAGTGGCCACGCTGCAATCTCCTGGCAAGCTATACGGAGAGCACCAAGCTGACGAATATGAATTACAGATCCAAATCTACCAACCTGCTATGCTCATCGTAGGTACTCGTGGTCGATCACTCGGAGGTCTTCAAGGCCTCGTCAACACCCGAAACTCCTTCTCCAAGTACTGTCTGCAGTACTCCCCGGTTCCCGTCGTCGTCGTTCGCCCGACCGAGAAACGAGAGAAGAAGAAAAATAAGAGACAAAACGACTCTGAGCGACAGACATACATCAAGATGCTGTCGGCAACGGGAGGCAAGCACGAGGCCGATAGCGAGCGCAGCAGCATGTACGAGGTCGAAATCAGGCATACACCGGACGAGGAGGCGCATCAGGTGGCGAAGGCCCTTGGACTGCCTGCTTCTTTCGATCCCACCATCAAGCCAATCGACCCCAGTTCGTTTTTACAGCCAAGAGGGTACAGCAACCTGTCGCAGACCACGTCTGCAGCATCGGCCAAAGCACCGCCTAGTACCGCCGGCGATAGTGATGACGATGACGATGAGGAGGACGAATTTGAAGTCGTGTCCGGCGACCAGCTCATCAACTCGAACCAGAAGGAGAGGCTCCACAAGATGGAGGTCGGCGAAGCTGCCGCTCTGCTCCGGGAAAACCGGAAGTCAAGTCTTGACTCTACTGGAAATGCAGAGGATGATGAGGATGACGACTCGAAAGAGTCGCGTACTAGTAGCACCGGTTGATGCTACGGACGGGAATGCTAGCGAATTGATGCTGGTCTTTAGGGAATGAGATCAAAAGACGTACAGGAATGGATCATCTATGGAAAGGCGTTTTGGTTGCCAACGTGGGCAGGGTATTTTTATTCGAGAGGATGTGTTGCAAAGGTCGCCCAAGTTGACCAGGTTGCGATCAAGCGTTTGGCGTAGCTCTTGCTATGCAGAAGAAGCCCACGGGTAGATACCCAATAAAAGAGAGAAATGACCAGGTACCATTTCATGCTTCCCCATATCGTGACGCAATGTAGCACTGCTCAAGCGGCATCTAAACCAACCTGCATAAGATGCTAAGGACAGCTCCCCATCAAGCTGCAGTGAGTGAGTCTTTCCTTCACGTCGATTGGCCACTCGCAGCAGCCCAGCGGGGCCCTGGGTGGCTTCACCCACCAAATGTGGCTGAAGCTCCAGCTAAGGCCAGGTCATCGTGGCTGGAGCAAACTCCGACAAAGCGTGACGAATGCCATACCTTGTCCTCCCAACACCCGTCTCAGCAACGGTTGTCCGAACAGATCGACAACATACCGCAGACAATGTCGACCCCAGCCTTGCGAATCCCGCGTTGAAATCTCACCTCGAAACAACAAAAAAATCACACAGCTCGCCGACACCTAGCGATGCAGCATCTGTCGCAATCCGAACACGACGACGACCACTACCACCTCCACAGACACATGTCCCACGCCCATTCGATCCCGACAGCGCACGAAAGCCCCGCCACAAGCCGCCCCAGATGCCCTGGTTCCGCTTCTTCTCGTCCGCCTGCGACGAGGACGCTTGCGCGGCCGTGGACCCCAACGCTGCCCCCTCGACGCTGGGGCTAATATTCTCGCTGTCGCCGTTCCTGCTCACCTTCGCGGCCGTCGCGACGGTCGCCAACCGCTCCATCTTCCCGCGGCTCGCCCGCGTGCACGACGCGCACGACGGCGAGGACCACTACCTGCCCGCCCACGCGCCGGCGACGCTGCGGCAGGCGCACGCGGAGCACGGGCAAAAGAGCGCGCGGCGGAGGGTCGCGGCGGGGGTGTTCTGCGTGACGGTCGGGCTGGCGACGGTGCTGGGGGAGCTGATCCTGTGCGAGGTTTCGGACGTGGTGGGGACGCGGGCGCGGGAGGTCGGGTTGCGGGTGACGGTGCCGACGCTGCTGGTGCTGCTGGTCGGCGTGATCCCGTTCCTGGAGATCCAGAGCGTGGTGGCGGGGGCGGGGTGGAGTTTCCAAAGGGACGGGAGGGGCCGCGTGCCGAGGGTGGCGTGGGGGGTGCAGGGCGCCGTGTTTGCAGGGTGGCTGTTTGCGTTCTGGAGCCTGGGGAGAATGGTCGGGCTGGAGAAGACGCCGGGAGGGGGCGTGTTGAGGGCCTGTCTGGAGCGGATCGGGGTGATTGGGATCTCGCTGATGGCGATGCTGAGCGGGTTCGCGGCGGTGTCGAGCCCGTGGCACACGCTGGGCGCTGTTAACGACCGGCGCAAGAGGCCGGTGACGGAGACGGACATTACGAGGAAGGAGGCCGGGCTGGAGGCTACGAACGAGATGCTGATTACGAAGCGGCACCGGCTGCAGGCGCTGGAGCGGAAGGCACGCGACGCGGCGGCGGCGGCGGCAAGCAGCTCGTCGTCGGGCGGGTTCATGGGCAAGATGCTGGGCGCCGTGAGGGGGATGAACGGCGACGAGGCGGAGATGAAGGCGCTGCGGCTGGAGATTGCCGGGCTCGAGACGATGGAGGCGAATCTCGGCGCAAGCCTGGGCATGATGCGCAGCCGGCGCGAGGCGGACGAGCGGGCCAAGACGGCGTGGGGCAAGGTCCTCGCGGTGCCTCACTTTGGCTTCAGCCTCTACTGCTTGTACCGCATCCTCGCGACGCTGATGGCAACGCTGCGGCGGGCGTACTACCCGGCGGCAAGCTTCAGCTCCTCGGACCCGATCAACCGCTTCCTGGGGCTGCTGGCGCGGCACTGGGACCCGAAACTGGACCAGATCGCGTGGGCGCGGCAGATTTCGTTCCTGTTATCGGGGGTGATACTCGCGGCGAGCGCCAACAGCGTGCTGCAGACATTCCGCCTCTTCAGCAAGTGGATGCCGGGGCTGCTATACCAGGCGCAGGCGAACCTGGCGCTGGTGATCGGGCAGGTGGCGGCGGTATATGTGATCAGCGCGGCGCTGCTGCTGCGGAGCAACTTGCCGCGGGAGATGGGCAGCGCCGTCGGGGACGCGCTGGAGGGGGCGCTGGAGCCGCGGTTCGTGGACTGGTGGTTCGAGGGGTGGTTCCTGGGCAGCTGCGCGGTGACGGGCGTGGGGGTGTGGATTTCGAGGAAGATTGGGCGGGAGGAGTGGGATGATTTCGGGAGCGAGGAGATGGGGGCGAAGAGGATGTGAGGGCATGAGGGATAGTAGAAGAATTGTCTTGATATTGGCTTTATGAGGAGTCGGGCGTGTATTGTTAGCGATTAGGGATATCATGGGACCATTGTAAAGTATCGATGAACTTTTATCATGCACTTTCTGTCTTTAATTGATGTGTTCGTGAATTATATTCAGTTCCTTCGCCATCTTACACTCATATCACAAACCTACACAAGTATCAAATCCACCAACTTAACAACCCCCTCGTCCTCACACCCTCCTCCTTCTCCCCCATCCCCATATCCCTCCTCCAAGCCCTCTTCACCTCGTCCAACAACCCCTCCTTCGTAAACACATCCACCGCCACCGCCGCCAGCCCCTTGCCCACCTTCAGACTAATCTCATACGCCTCCCTCGTCCCCGCCGCCGCCGCGAACTCGGGGTTATGCGGGCCCTGCCCGCCCTCCCCCGGCGGAATCGCAAAGCCCACACTCAGACTCGGCATCGCGTAGCTGATGTCCCCCTGGTCCGTGCTCGCCATCGTCCGCCCGCGGATCTCGTCCACGTCCTCGTCGAGCGGGATCTTGCCCTTCCCGTCTTTCGTGGACAGCGCATTCCACGCGCGCGTGTAGCTGCGCCCCAGCGGGCGGTTCGGCACGTGGTCCTTGTAGCTCCCCGTCTCGGTGATCTTTAGCTTCGCGCCCGTGGCGAGCGCGCCCGCTTCAAAACAGCGCTGCACCTGCGCGCGCAGCTCCCTCAAGCGCGCCTGGCTGTCGGCGCGCACGACGAAGTCGCCCGCGGCGTACGCGTGGATGATGTTGGGCCGCGCGCCGCCCGAGGTGATGTTGCCCTGGATGACGTCGCCGGGCATGGTCTGCTGGCGCAGCGCGGAGAGCGCGGTGTAGGCGGTGACGAGGGCGTCGAGGGCGTTGATGCCCAGCCAGGGGTTCGCGGCGGCGTGGGCCTCGCGGCCGAAGTACTCGACGGAGAAGGAGGTGTAGGCGGAGGTGCGCATGAGGGACGTGTCGGCGACGATGCCTGGGTGCGAGATGAGGTTGAGGTCGACGCCGTGGGATGCGTAGGCGCCGGCGCGGAGGAGGCGGATCTTGCCGCCGCCGCCTTCCTCGGCGGGGGTGCCGTAGAGGACGACTTTGCCGGGGAGGGAGGGGTGATGGGAGAGGTAGAGGGCGGTGGCGAGGGCGCCGGCGACAGAGGCGGAGGCGATTAGGTTGTGGCCGCAGGCGTGGCCTATGCCCGGGAGGCAGTCTGGGAGTGGCGTTAGAGAGAATGGGGGGAGGGGGCAGGAGGGGCGTACCCATCTCGGCGTTGAAGGAGACCACGGGGCCTTTGCGGCCGGTGTCGTAGACGGCGACCCAGGCGGTCTCCATGCCGTAGGCGGAGGGGGTGACGGACCAGCCGGGGCGGGAGCGCATGAAGGCTGTGAGGGTGTCGTGGGCGATGAACTCTTTGTAGCCTAATTCGGGGTTGGAGTGGATTTTCCTGTTGACGGGCCAGAGGTCTTCGGCGAAGGAGTCTACGATGGCGGAGATTTCGTCGAGGGGCGTTGAGAAGCAGGCAGGGTTGGTGGATGGTTTGCAGTCTGAGTGGGAGATGAAGACGAAGTCATCGTCGTCGTCTGAGATAGTGTCTGATGAGATTGGGGGTGTCATTTTGAGATGGGTGCGGTTGCGGTGGGAATCTGAGGGTGCCATCTTGAGAATTGTGTTTGAGGTTGGTGTGAGATGGAAGTGAAGGATGAGAGATGAGGTTGGTGATAAGAGCTGCGACACGACGCGAATGAGACGAGAGGCTGGTGAGGTGAGGTAGCTACCTTGGTGGGTTTGGGTTCCCCGAGCGGAGGGGCTCCGACGCCGGCCGGTTATCTCCCGGGGTCCAGCTTGCGGGTGGCTTGCGATTTCAAGCTGCCATTTCGGGCTAGCGCTCTCGCTGCTTGTAGGAGGGATTAAGAGGCCTGCGCCGGTGCTGTTGGAGCAGAACTTGATGGATTGCCGACAGGTTGTGAATTTTCCACTCGTTGAATTTGATGCGGTTGTTGATTCCGACTTACACCATTGGAGGGGCGGGTTTTTTTTTTCCGCCGTAAATGACAAGATCGCTGTTATGTAACCGATCAAAAGTCCTTTCTTTGAGAGACCGAGACGGCTTATGAGTGTGTTGACCGCCAATCAATTCTCTATTTTGTCAGATACTCGTATTTTCAAAGCGGTACCCAACATTTTCTTTTGCAATTTATGTTCAGTGCAGATTGAACACTTTCAACTCCTCAACTCCCTGCTCAACTCTTTTCACACCCTGCCCGTACATCAAGCCATGGACATAGGCATCGCCCAGCAGGCGTAAATGGGTTCCCGCCTCGGGCCTACCACCACCCTGTGTCTCGTCGTCCATGTCCCGGACAATGAAGGGCATTTTACCGCCGGCGAAAACGCAAATTTTGTCTCCGACCTTGATATCGGGCGGGCCTAGCCCAATGAAGCCCTCGGTAGAGATGAAAAATTGACGCCTGCCAGACGCCCTCATCAAATGTTGGATCAAGGCCTCTTTAGTTGTAGAGTTGCGGAAGATGTCTAGCTGGGGAAGACGGTGGGAAGAGGTGAGTTCACTGTCCCAGTGCCTCATAAACATTCTCTCGTGGTTGTAGCCAGCCTGCTTTGCCTCTAAGCCGTTGTAATCTAGTAGTCCGTTGACCCCGATATCGAGACATATCGTGCGCCAAAATGCGTCTGATATGGTACCTCGTCCACGGTATGGTCGACCGGGGTTCCCGTCGATGTCCAACATCTCCCACCACGCAAATAGGTATTCCGGGCCCGTTTCAGTCATGAGAACTCTTTCAGATCGTCCGACTCTCTCAATCCTATCGCAAACCACCCCTTGTACGCAGAGAATGCTCTCTTCAAATTCGGCACAGGGAGTATAGTTAAGCCTCCCGCAGACGTTGTAGACGTCCAGAAAAGCAAGGCGATGGGTGGTCAGATAGAAATCACCGGAGAGGCCGCCGTCGTTTGGACAGTATTCAGCCCCCCAATCTGGAACCCATGAGGGAAGCCCGGCGGTTGTTGTCTTCCGATACGCCTGATTTGCGCAGTGGCTGAGAATATCCAGATTCGTGCAGTAGCTCATGATCTCCCGCGTCGTCTCCTCAAAGACATGAGCAGCAGTGAGGGCGTAATCGATCGAAGCCGTTCTGACGCCTCGCGATATTCCCAATAGCCCAAAGACTTTGTCGCAAGGGTCCGTTGCTCTCCTGGTGCGAAATTTGGAAATCACTTCGTCGAAGCGCAATTTCTCTTTTTGTAGGTTGGCTCGAACGTTGACCAAGTCTAACAGCCCTTCCATTCCAACAGTGATGTTGGCAGTGGTGGTGATGAGTGATTTGTTCCTTTCGAGACAGGAATAGCAGCAACGTCTTACGGATGTATGATTCCTGTAGCTTGCTGCTGCTTTGAGCACGTCGGACTCCGATAGCAGCCGAGGGCCGTACTGGTATGTCAGTTGTCTCGCAAGAACAGCCTCTTGGACCGTCCAAACCCGCGACCACCATTCGTTGTGGAGAAAATGATACATCTGAAACAACTGAACGAGATCGTGCTTTAGATCTGGCCAGTGCAACTCGCTGTCGGCGGCATACTTTTGGATAGTAGCTATAGCTTTGAATCCCACCGAAGTCGCTGGACCGAGCCAAACCACGACTTGGGTTGCCGTTGAGTAAATGTCACTCATCCATCGTACTTGCTGATTACGCTCCTGGACATTCTCCTGATCGATGCAGAGAACGTCCACCCAGAGCATGCGTGCTCGGTCAGGATATCGAAGATGGCGCAGCGCCGCCTCTAGATTCATAGTGACATTCTTGGCCGTCTGTTGAAGTGTAATGGGTCGTGTGTCGCTCGCGCTGCCCCACACATATGAAAGGGCTTCGTACTCGTCTGGGCTGTCTAAGGACGTCGCGTGAAGTTCGCAATGAATACCGTCCGCCTCGTTACCGGCGAGTAGTCTGAGGAGGCGGACTTCGCGTTTGGTGGGATCTAATACAGTGTACATCGGCAATTGTGATCGAGAAAACGTCGGAAGAAAAGCCTCAATGAAAAGATCGACGACCTTGTTTGGTTCAAATTCAAAAGACAATATGTTGAATGCTTGGTTTCTTATTTGGATCGACAGTTCTTCACCGGTGCCTGATGTCAGAACAAGCCGTCACCGCGCAACATGAATTTGGAAAATTGCCAGGCATCAACGTTGCGGCGCAGACGTGCTGTAATGAATGTATTGGCTGAAAGTAGGCGCAGCTGTTTGGGGCACAGCAAATCGATTACTACTGGTTAGTAACCGGTTCAACGGGGTGCTTGCCAAGGGCGCGTGTTGGCACCGGGTGTTCTTGACAGTCTAGTAGGCGAAAGGTGAAATTAAGCATCCATGGATGTTGTAGACCTTTTCGAGAAAGGACTGATCCCTAAAACTTCATTCAAAACCCTTGGCTCCGGGTGCAAGTACCTACTTTGATGGTTTCCAAGAAGATCTCAGGTTCATCGCGTAATTGACATTGTAAACAATAGGGACATAGATTGCACACAATTTGCAAGACCATGTACAAAAGTATTTCATACTGGACTCTGCTGTCTGGAAGCATACCTTTCCTTAGCTACACGGACGGAGCTCTACTTGCGTTGGACACGTTCTGTTCCATTACCACACATCTCTACCTTTTCGACTCAAATGCCCTTGCCATCGTCCTGAGTGTCGTCTCTGTCGTCTTAACGCTCTGCATCGTTCATGCCTGCATAGATAGCAGAACTCTCTGGGCCATGCGCTAATAGCTATTGCCTTAAGTCGCGAACTACTTCATGATGGAACCCTCAGAAAACTCTTTCCAAGGTGACGAGGACAATACAGGTCTTGGGTGGCTTGAGAAAGAACTTCGAGCACTACATAGAGTATGCACGATCTAATATCGCAACCTCTGGGACTCGCAAAGGCACACGAGCCACCGCGGCCATTAGTTCAGTTTTAACGACTTGATAAACTCCAAAATAGGGTGGGTACGAGTGGTTCAGATCATGAAAGTACCTCGGGTGTCCAGAGTAAGTATAACGAAGGCAGTAAATGCAGAAGGCCTTTCGAGCCACGTGCTACACTACAAGTCCTTGTCCTGTCGCAAATGACAAGATCGCATCGATGCAGCCAAGAACAAGGGATTCCCCTGTAAGACCAATAGAACTGCACTTCATGTTCTCAAGCAGGTCCTTGAAATGCTCATATTGGGCAAAAGAGTGTAGTCCGAATACAGCATTCTCCCCATCCGTCGATCGAAGTCGTTCCCTCGCACTTTGTACGAGCTTCCTATTTAATCCAGCCCGAACGAGACAAGGGCGCCTGCTACGTACCAACAAACGTGCATTGAGGTCCAGTAGTCATGTGTGTCTCGGTCGAAGTATTGTATTCGTCAGATCGAAGGAAAACATCCGTTCAGCCCCGCGACTGCAGCAGTACCTGGCCTCGGAGCGTTTTAAATTGGTTCAAATGTCACCCTGGGTACGTTTACCGCCTTTGTTACCAAACTGCACGACATGCGGTTAAGGATGATTATCCCTGTTTTAGTGAGCTCACGCAGAATGGACGGCGCTGCAGCAGCCCCAAACGCCAATGCCGATTGAGAGACACACGTTTGCCTAATCGGGAAGTCAGAGGTATCTCGACGAGACATCGCGGGGGATCGGGCGGCAGCCCCAACACTTGGCGGGGGAAAGTTATAAAATGGAAGTCGACTGCAATTGACGTTGGGTTGAGACTGGAAGTTTTCTCGGGCATCAGTAAGACAACCCGCCTTGATCCCTTCGCAGAAGGGCCGATATCTTCTCAATTCTTCGGTCCCCAAGAATCCCGCTCGTTCTTGTCACCGGAAAAGATGCACATCTTGGGGACGGTCTTGCGAAGTTTGGCGCGGATGGAGACTAAACCGTATCCGCTGGACTTGGTCAAGGGGCTTGAGAAGTAAGTCGACATTTTCCGCCACCGCGGTTCTGTCTCTGACGATTATCAGATACTTTGACAGTCCGGAATACTCCGACGTAACGATCCGGTGTATCACAAGAGACTTTTACGCTCATCGCGTCGTGCTCGCCAGCCAGTCCAAATTCTTCGCAGACGCTTTTCCGGATAGCGATATCGATCCCGCCCTGCTCCTCGAGGGATCAACGGTTCTAGGAAATGCGAACGCCCACCAGAATCCCGGCTGTCAGCAAATCGTCAACATGCAAGATGAGAACCCACGAGTTGTGGAAAATGTTCTTTGTTTCATGTACCACGCCGACTATCGCGACACTCCATGTCTCAACGTTACGCCTCCGCCCGCTGATCCGATCATGTTTAACCTTCAAATGTCCGTTGCCGCGGACAAGTTCGAAGTGTCTTGTCTGAAGCGCTGTGCAGCGGAGAAGCTGAGGGACGCTTCTGAGAAACTTTGGAACACGGATGCCTTTGTCAAGGCGATAGCGTATGCCTATTCGGAAACTTCGAGGGTGGATGTTATGGCGAGAAGTGTCCTGGCTGAGGTGGCAGCAAGACACGCTTCTGATTTAAGTCAAATCATCGCTTTCAGGGATTTGTTGGATGAGTTCTTGCAGTTCAACGTCGACTTCACAGAAGCGGTTGTCAAGACTGAACCAGATATGAGTCAAGGGATGCCGTGTATGTTTTGTGGGCTGGTTGGAGATGGCTGCAGATGTGTGAGTGGATGGTCTACTTAAGTATGGGGCGTGTCTATCGAAATCAGATTTTGATGTTTACTTTGGTCATCTCGAGAGAAGTATGCGTGTATGAGGCAGACTCGATTCATGGCTTGACCAGAAGAAGTGGCATTTGGGTGTCAACTTGGCTGCTCCTTTGAATGATCACTATGACAGGCACTCTGTGGCAGTTGGCCATCGAAGTTCAATTTTACTGGAACAAACAGTATACTTTTCAATGATTATTGTTATTTTTTTGGAAGCTGGCTTCATTAAAGCGGTGGCTGACGTGGGAACAGCCTATGATGTAACCACATTGCTTCTCGACTAACTAGCTGGTCATGAGAGGCCGCAGTATAAATGAGTGAACCACTTCCACGTTACATACATGAAGAGAAAGCCGTTTAGTAAAAGACAATCGAATAAGTCGATAACAAGAGGCTAAGCTCAAAAGTTCCACGGAAGAAAATGGAAATCAAGGACCCTTGTTTCATACACAAGGGTCCCCTGAATTCCTCCAGCTATCGTCTGGAACAACTCTGAACCTAAGGAACCTCAGCTTGAAAGCACCGTCTTCCCCTCAACACCTCTCGGCAAAAGACGAGATGGCCTCTAAAACGAGAAAGACCACCAAGGCTGACGATGCCGAGAGCACCGCTCCTCAACTATTCGACATTCAAAGTGATTCTTGTGACCGCATTTGTCCCGGAGTCGCCCCGCTGGGTATTGGTAAAGGAACAATATGAAGAGGCACTCGTGAACCTGAAAGGTCTCAACGACGGTAGAGCTGGTTTTGATGGCGAAACTGAACTTGCTGCTATGATGGCGAACCTCGAGCAACACACAGAGAAAGTTTCTTAGGCCGATCTCTTCCGCGGCACTGACCTTGTACGTTGTCTCATGAAAATTCCTTTCGAACTCCTTTTCCCCGGGCGGTTGTTCACCTGTTCTCAGCAGACTCAGCTAACTGGGATCAATTTCAACAGAGGCGCACTAGAATTGCTCTGCTTCCACCTTTCTTCTCGCAAGCGACTGGCCAAGCGTTTGCCAATGTCTACGGCACAATATTTTACCAAAGTCTCGGCACCATCAATCCCTTCATCCTCACCATTATCTCTCAATGCTTTGGGCTAATTGGCTACCTGTCGTTCATGCTCTTGGTTGATCGAGTTGGTCGCCGCTTCTTCTGGAAGTCGATGGTCCCATTGGGATGTTATTGCTACATACATACTGGCAGTACAAAGTTTTGTGAGCCCTTTTTGAGAACGAGAAGGGGAAAAAAAGAAAAAAGAAAGAAAAAAAAAAAGCACCAGTAGGTATTCTGGTAGGACGACGTCGCACCCCCAGCTTCATTCGGGTGCCTGCAAGATCGTCCATGAGAATAGCTTTTTTTGCAAGTGAGTATGCATGAATGTCAACAGCGAGGAGTCAGCCTATTACCTAAAGTAACAGCCTGAACGATAAATTTAGATAAACCTCTCGTCCTGAGAGGCAGTGACAGGGGTCTTGAAAATTTCATGTCAACGCCTGGCGTTCAGATATGGTAGCTACTGCAAGAAGTATGGGAGTAGAATAGAATTGAATACAATAAGCTTTTATCCTCGGGTTTATTAGTCCTTTGCTTTCTCATGTCTCGATCAGGGTCAAGTTACAATAAAGATGGCTCATGCAACTGTGCGGCACCTTTTTTCCCCTGCAATCCCCCTGGCATCAAGACTTTCATTCTTCGACCAGGTACGAACTCCTCCCCTCCAGTTTAGCGTCCGAGTTCTTTAGCTCATCATCCGTCAACTCCCGACCACTCCTCAACAGCGCTTCATGTGTGGCATGACGATGCTCCCAGCCGCCACCAAAAGTCAAGTTACGCGGTAATTCCACTACTGGGCTTGGATCTGGAAAGACGAAGTTGTCGGTCGACTTCCTGTGTGCAAGTCCGAGACCATCATCAGCTCCAGTCGGATAGAATGGCCCTTCATTAGGCGCGAACTGGTAGTTCATGCACTCTGCGATGGTGACGAGCGGGAAAGACCCGTAAAACTCGTCGTAAGCAGGGTTTAAAGCGTCCTCCAGGGTTCGTACTCGATTCGAAGACGAAAGATTGGGGGGTTGAATAGCACTCCAAGGGTCTCTGCAAGTGTCTTGAGTGCATGACTTCGAGACAAGGAGCAGCGCGTTCAGTCTCCTTGAAACGCGAACATGAATCGGCTCGGTCGAGTTGGCGAGGTTCACCAACTCATATGGATCATTCTTCCCTTCCTTAGCATGTTTGAAGCGGAGAGACGATTTGAAGACTCACCTTCGTGTCATAGAGCTCTGTATCATTGCTGCACCATCTTGAATACATCCAGGAACTGGAGTCTCCCACAACACGCATTGTCTTGTAATCGTTCTTCGAGTAAAGTCCAGGGAAGGAGATGCCGTAGTCACCCTCTGACCATTGGTGCATCTCGACAAATCCAGAACCCCAGTACTCAATGTTAATGGCCTCCTTTCTCTTGGAGATATCCGGGGAGTTTGGATTCTTCCACGAGTCGAGCAGACTTGAGCCATCCCAGAACGGCGGTCGATCATTAGGGTCCAATCCCGCGATGTCAAGGAAAGTGGGAGCAAAGTCGACGACTAGGCTAGGGTTGCTTGAAACGGCGCCTTTGGGAATACCAGGACCGCGCACGATGAGGGGAATATTGGTGTCTTCTAAATAAGGAAGTGACTTGCCAACACCGGTGCGGTGAGTTCCGAGGTGATATCCTTGGTCCGTCGTGTAGATGACTGTGAGATGATCATTATCACGGCGAACAGCACTTTATGGGAATCAAGATTTGAAAGACATACTGTAGGTGTTATCAATTGCATCGTTAACAGTAAGCATCTCGACAACATCGTCAATGATGTCATCCACTCCCTTGAGAGATTCAAGTCGGCGCTGGTAGAAGTGGTCGATCTCGGCAATCTGAGTGTTGTTCAAGCTGGGAAGGGTCCTGAGCCAACTAGGCTTGCCATGTTGGTATTCATTGGCAGGATTAAAGTTGGGAGTGCGAGGAACAGTGGAATTTGCAAAAGATCCGAGGTATCGAGCAGGTGGCGTTGGAGGATCTCGCAGGTTCTCCACGTGTGGCGCTGTTGGAGCAATCATGAGGAAGAACGGGTCTTCCTCCTTCAACAAAATGTCGAGTCGATCGAGGCTGGGGTGACAGTCAGTATTTTTTCTAAAATACAAGGTTACTGTTAGTTAGCTGCGATGGTCACTTACGCTTTGATCCGCACGACATCTGTTTGCTGGAAGCCCTGATACCATACAGGTCGAGCGCCATTCTCCGACATGACGACTGTGTTATGGGCGTTGGTGTATGGATCCAGCTGCACAACGTCAGTGTCAAGTAAACCATGACTCAAGGCGTCGGGCGCTTTTCACCAAGACGTCAATGTGTCTCCAGCCTTTTGGGGCAGGGTTGTATGAAATGATTGAATCTCCATTGAAGAGTTTCCCGACATCTGAATGGACAGTATGAGCATGTAATGCATGCAATAGTGATTGCCAAATGCGTCGAGTGCTTACACTCGGCGTTGTAGTCGGCCTTCTCCAGCCAATGAGGCAGGTATTCTTCTTCAAGACCAGCAGCTCTGAATTTGGGAAAACCTCCTCTGAAAGAAGGGAAAAATCAGTAATAGTTTAGCAACACACTCAAATAACACGAATATTACCCGGGCGCCTTGATGGCGGTGTTATTGGTATTGTGTGCATGCTGTCCACGCATGAGGGACACACGACTAGGGCAGCAAACGGCAACGCTGGCATAGTGATTGGTGAAGACAGTCCCATGAGCGGCGATGTGTTCTTGAACTGCTCTTTGGGTGTCGACGGAGCCGTGTCGGAGATCCTGGTCGTCAGTGAAGATGAAGATAATATTGGGTCCTTTCTTTTTGCCAAGGGCACCAATGAAGAACACTAAAAGAGATGCGATGCAGATTGAGGACTTCATCTTTGGAGATTGATGAAGTTTTGATCGAGTGACACTTAGGATAACGTAATGAAAGCATCCATGACAACAGGGCGACTGCCAGCGTCGCGTATGAACAAACATGTTCAGTGACTATTTATCATGTCTCCAATATTTGCAGGCAACTCTTACAGTGACTACCTGTCATCAAGAAGATTAACTCTTACATCATGGGCCACATCGCAGCTTCGATCACGCGAACGACTATTTGCGGGGCCACCCCGCGATGCGACTACAGTAGGCTGGGTTTGCTTGCTCATGACATGAATACGAGTACTCGTATTTCCCCGCAAACACTCTAAGCTAGTAGATCTTCCGAGTTTTCTGCTCAAAGCTAGGTTGCATGTAAGACTATTCGTGAAGCCCTTGTCAGTAATGATTCCGAATGCGAGTATTAACCGCGTCTTTCACCGTGGCGCGCTTTACTTGGTGGTGGCACCGAGCCACGTCACTTGTTCAGGCTCTCTCACTCCGCGTATTCGGCATCGGCTCAATCTCCTCTCACTTCTTGGTATTACCGTCGGCAGTCCCCTGTCTGGAGAAGGCATCACGGCCCAACGGCGGTGAAATATGGCAGGCAGCCAGTCTGGGGTAATCTCCAACCCGGGGCAAAGATGACCGAGGGGATGGAGGATATAAAAGGCGCATCAAAGAAGTTCGTCGATCCATTACAAAAGCTTCCACTGAGTGCAAGACAATGTGCCTGCAACACAGAGACCGCATTCTTATATTTACGGCATCGTTGTTCTTCTTGGACTAAGTTCGGCATCGGTGTACCGTATCTTCGTTCGCCATGAAATCCCTCAGCTTCCCCAATTTCATCATAGGCATCGGCATATTTCTGCCCGTCGGTCGGGGGGCAAACCTAGCTGGTACGTCATGTTGTATTGCAAAGAGAAACTCAAGGATTTGACAAGCAAGCTTTAGGACGTGCTGACATATTCTTACCTAGAACGTAACTCTACGAAGTGGAACGAAGCAATCGAAAAGGCTGAAAATCTTTTGTCTCAACTCAATCTTACCGAGAAGGCGACATTTGTGACGGGCAAGCTGGCAATTGGTGTCGCCCCGTGCATTGGCAACATCCTACCCATCGATCATGCCGACTTCAAGGGTATTTGCATGCAAGACGGACCCAATGGCATCAATATTGCAGACCTCGTCAGTGTCTTCCCAGCTGGACTTACGGCCGCCGCCAGTTGGGACAAGGGCTTGATGCTCGAGAGGGCAAGGGCGATTGGTGAGGAATTCAGGGGCAAGGGAATCAATATCGCCCTGGGGTAAGTCCATGATACTACGGTCTATTATCCGTCCCAAGGAACATACTGACATCATGCAAGACCTTCTTCAGGCCCACTTGGAAGGCACGCACTCGGCGGTCGAAACTGGGAGGGCTTTTCAGTGGACCCTTACCTGTCAGGTGTGGCTATGGAGCAGACTGTCCTAGGAATCCAGTCGATGGGCGTTCAGACCTGCTCGAAGCATTTCCTTGCTAACGAGCAAGAACTTCAACGAACTTACACAATAGTGGATGGTAAGCGGATTGAGGGAATATCATCCAACGTTGGCGATCGGGCTATCCGCGAACTCTACGCTTGGCCTTTTTACAACGCAATCAAAGCTGGCACCACGAGCATCATGTGTAGCTATAACCGCGTTAACGGCACTTACGTCTGCGAGAACGAACATCTCCTGAAAACTGTTCTTCGAGATGAGATGGGATTCGACGGATATGTCATCTCTGACTGGTTTGCAACTCATTCTGGGGCAAAATCTATCAATGCCGGATTGGATCTCAACATGCCTGGCGCGTACGACGAGTCAACTATCCAGACGGGCCAAAGCTACTGGGGCCCGGAAAACATCACTGCCATGATCGACGATGGCTCAGTCGAGGAAGCACGAATCGACGAGATGGTCCGCAGAATTCTTACTGGGTACTATTACATGGACCAAGACACAAGCGAATACCCGGAAACCGACTGGTCTCTGATGTACACTTTTGCGGCTTGGTCAAATGTCCTAGATCTCTTTCCACCTCCGTATCCTGAATCGCGCGACGTTCGCGGACAACACGGCCATCTCATCCGAAGGATTGCCGCAGAGTCAACTGTGCTCCTTAAAAACGAAGGCATCCTCCCGCTGAAGAACCCGAAGAATATCGGCATATTTGGTAACGATGCGGCGGACCCTACTGACGGCCTCACTTTCAACCGACAATTCGAGATAGGGACCCTTGACGTTGGAAGCGGCGCGGCTTCGGGAAGACATACGTACTTGGTGTCTCCGTTGGAGGCAATCAAGGCTAGAGCCAAAGAGACAGGATCGCGAGTTCAGTACATGCTACGGAATAGCGTCATTGCGCAGGGCGACTTTTCGGCTCTCTACCCGATCCCTGACATTTGTTTGGTCTTCCTCAATTCCTTCTCTGGGGAGACGCGAGACCGGACCAGCTACGAGTTCGACTGGAACTCCACCGCCGTCGTGGAACAGGTTGCCAGGAGATGTAACAATACGATTGTGATCACCCATTCTGTCGGGGTCAATACGATGCCTTGGGCAGATCATCCGAACGTCAAAGCTATTCTCGCTGCACATCTTCCGGGCCAGGAGACGGGCAACTCAATTGTCGATGTCTTGTGGGGAGACGTCAACCCGTCTGGGAGGCTGCCATACTCTATTCCATTCAACAGCAGCGATATCGACATCCCTATCGTCAACCTCACAAATGCTACATCACCTGACGCTTGGCAGTCAGACTTCGAAGAGGGCCTCTTGATTGACTATCGCCATCTTGACGCGAATGAAATCGAACCTCGCTATGCCTTTGGATTTGGCCTAAGTTACACCACTTTTGAAATGTCTAGTGAGGTTGACGTGATGCAAGTTGCCAACAATCTTACTGCAGAACCCGATCCGTCGAAGTCTGTCGTTCCGGGTGGCCATCCCGATCTTTGGCATAGCGTCCTGACAATCAAGACCACGGTAACCAATACAGGCCTGATCACTGGAGGTATCGTCCCGCAACTCTACGTCTCTCTGCCTGTTTCAACCTCACCACCGGGAACACCAGTCCAGGTGCTTCGTGGATTTGAGAAGCTGGTACTGGCAGCCGGTGAGAGCGGCGATGTCCTTTTTGAGCTGACGAGACGTGATGTGAGCTACTATGATGAAATGCGTCGCACGTGGGTCATTCCGGAGGGCGTTGTCAAGTTTCATATCGGATTTAGCTCCCGAGATATCAAGGCAACACTGGAGCATGCATTTTTTTCAGGAATAATGAGCTAGGCACAGTGTTCTGTAAAATGACCATAAGCTAAGATCAATCATCTGTTATTGCTACCACCTTATCTCATACCGGATAACCCAATGGTCTCAATACACTGTATATCTCTTCAACTGAAGCTCCATGGACATCTGGTGTTTCTGTCTCGTCGTCCGAGGTCTCATGTTGTGCAATAAGCGACGGTTTCTGCCAGTACTGAAGCCCGGCGTAGCCTTCCAGTATGTAAACCTCCCCTCCAAGTCTTCGTTTGAACGCATCAATGTTGTTGATTGACGGAATCCAAATTGGCTCAGACAAGATCTGATCTCCAGACTTATTCCACCAAAGTGGGACGCAGTCCTCAATCGCAGGGATGTGCGTTGCGCTTGCATAGCCGCTGACAACGGTCGTCTCCCAAGGAAGCGCATCACCCACAAACATCTCTTCAAGAAGCTGCCAAACGCGACGTCGATTATGTAGTCCAGCGGGTACATATTGCATGTCCGTGGAGTACCCAGTGCAGGCTTTGTCGAAGACCAAATCGACTTGGCGTAAGTCTTCAACCCGGTGCCTATCTATCGGCTCTGTAATCTTTCCGTAATCGATACCACGACTCAGCTGGCGGAACAAAAGTTCCCAGTCCCATTCAAATTCGGGGCTACCAGGGCATGGCTCGGCGTCTTTGGCGTCGATCAACGCTGGTTCAACATCCCACAGCCACGGCAGAAGCCCTTGACATCCTGCTTTGAGCTGTTCCTTTCACAGGGCCTGTGGAACTAGACGAGAGGAGATGCGCGGCATTTCTCGTGCATCTAATTCATCGAGTATCGCATTCATTATCTCGACGGGCATCCGGCTTAGGTTTGTAGCAACCCCGGCAGCCTCGTCTCTGAAGCTGACACGTGATCGACATGGTCTGAGGTTTTTCAGAAGACAGCCTGTGAGATTCTTTATCTCCAGAGGGTCCTGGGCCAACGACTGTCATGGTTAATACCTAGTAGAATAGAGTCATGTCACAAGCGTTGTACTCACATGGAAAACGTTTGCTCTTGTCGACGAATGAGGTCCAGGCCAGTGCACCCCTTCAAAGCCATTTACATCCCATTCTGGATAAGGGAGATAATAACCATGTTCCGCGAGAGAATAGTTCACGCCTGGATTGAACCAGCTGGTGCACTTGAAATGGATACCTTCCCTCCAGCGAAGAGCAGTGAACAGCCCTCGTAAATGTCTAACATGGGCAACTGACGAAGATTTGAAGACTTTCCTCGCTATTTCCAGACAGACGGTGTGTACAGCAGCGTAGGATTGCTCGCCCAAGCCCAGGAAGTAGTCCATGTAGATGTTCAAATCGCGTTTGCCATCGGGGGTGTGCCGTGTGAAAATTGGCCCTGAGCGATACTCGCCGCGATATACCTCGATTTCGGAAGCTTGAGACCTGGGTCTCACTTCAGACGGCACTTTTAGGCTTTCTCGAGTTTCAAGAAACCCCCATGACATCTGATCACACTCAAAATCGGGGAGAAGTTGTTCAAATTCGCAGTCTGGGTCGCAGAGTAAGCGGATGTCGCTGCACCACTTCAGTTGTTCCTGAAGCTCTTCGTCTGTTACCCCCCATTGTGGCGGATTTTCTCGCCCCCAGCCATACCAGCTCCTGTAAATCCTCATGCCGCAAATTTGACATATGTGATCGCTGTCAGTCTGTTCCCAGACGCTCGTTCTGGGCTCGGAGTATTCTTCCGCCATCTTGTTGAAACGTCCAATGAATGTCACCAGTCGAAGGAGAAGAGGGGGAAGCTGTGTATGTCGCAAGATACTGCTTGTCGATCCTGGCCAAAACGTGGGAGGCGGGAAGGATTGTTAAGATAGTTGAGACTTAATTAAAAAGCAAAGATATTGGCACAGAAAACGGCATGTATAGTCTTCATACAACGTCAGTTCCATCAGAGGTTTTATCATGACGATTCACGCACAGATAAAATAACATAATGACCTTGAAAATATTGTCCTACTCTTAAATTGAATAATTACACGGTGAGTCACTAAACCAGGTTTCGTGCTCACCACTGAGTCTGTCGGCAGGAGCTCCACCTGCTGCCTAGTCTGTCGAGTCCGTCCTCAGCGAAGAGGCCAAAACATGTGGGGCCAAACATGAGAGGCCAAAAAGAGGCCAAAACTGAACAACCATCACGCGCCACACAGCAAACTACAGACACAAACCCAAGCACCCCGCTACCACCAGGCTATGTCAGTTTGTCTCAGTGTATTCGAACCACACTGTACCTCCCCTCCTCTAATATGATGGCTGAAATAATCATCAATGAAAGTTACATTCATCCCTGCGCGGGAATAAGCTGCTCTCACGGCTTTCGCTAGAATGTCTTCGCCGCTAACCACAGGCCCAAAGGGGTTCGGACTCAAGTATTGGTCACCGACCACAATACCGTTGATTGCACTCGGAAGAAAAGCTCCAAGTTGGTATTCGTCTTTCAAAACAGGAGGCCAGTAGAAGTCTAGGCCGTCAGAATTGACATAGACCCCACCCGCGGACCGATCGCGAAACAGGCCTGGTACGTGTATGACGTCGTCGCGATCGAGTGGTATCTCAGAGAGAAGGATGTCGAGATTATGGTTGATCCACTTCTGGGCGTATGCATTGATCTCCATAAATGTGGCGTTGGATAAGACATCGTTGATGGTGAGGTTCAGGTACAGCGGCATATCCACTTTGAAACGGTCAATCTGTGGCTGGGCGTCGAAACTGATAGCCATTGCCTCTCCATAACCAGCAGCTTGAGCTTCTTGGAAAATATTGATCGCGAGATCAGGGGTGACAATAGCAATAGTGAAGCCCAGATCGTTATCGTACGGGAGGAACTGAACAAACTCATCAACATGCCCAACTCGGAGCCATCCTGTCTCGAGGAACAATGTTGACTGCACACCGTTGCTGAAGATCAGGTCCCGAACTGCCTGCGCTGGGAAGCTGTCATAGTGCTTGCCTTGAATAACACGGCCGGCTTTATACAAAATTCCTCGCTTGGATCTGTGGGGTGGAATCGTTTCAAGGTTGCCGTAGCTGTTGATGGTATGATAGCCGAATCCAGACCCAGGAAAGCCAGTACCGGAGTAGCCACTAGGTTGGAATGCGCCAAAGCCAGGACCTCTCATCTGCTCAAAAGCTTGTCGGCCTCCCGCGCGAGTGGACTGCGCGGACCGAAGCATGATGCGGATGGCAATGGGCCCATCAGGACCAGGCATACTTGCGTAAGCGGGCTCGACAACGTCTTGAGCCCATATGTCGGAGGACTGATTGAAAAGCCACATAGGATTGCTGATATCGACGGCCTTCCGTGCCGCATCTAATTGCTCGATGAAGTATTGTTGCACAGGGTTCGTATCATTTGCCCAAGTCGAGACCAGCGTCTCGACCTTTTGCAAATGGTGATGCGTGAGGATTGGAGCGACTTTCAAGGCCACAGAGTCCCTGACGAAGTTGATGGACCCTGGAGTATCGTAGACATCGAAGTTGATCGTAACATGACCGTCCCAAATTTCCGAATCTTTCACAAACTCACGGCCATCAATTCCTAGTGTAAGACCGGCCCAAAGCTGAGTTGCATTGAAGTTGAACTGCCTGTCTACCAGGCGCCACGAGCCCGTAGAGTTGGGACTTTCCAGTTCGTCAAGGAGAAAGATTCGCACCCGCTCATACGCAGGACGGGGTGTTGCGTACACATGAGCAATTGCCCCATCGGAGATTCTTTGAAGAGGCATCGTCTTCAAAGGGGCGACGTACTCTGGTGCTAATAGCATATGACCTGATGCGTCATTGCAGAAGGCCAGTTCGTCGTTGCTAAGTGGCATGCTGTTTAGGTCGGTGTTTGGACACCTTAAATATTTATCTCCGATATTGGGGAGGAATATGGCGCCCCTTCCTTCAGTCCAGATGGCTTTGTTTCCAGTGTCGGAGTCGCCTTCCATATCAACGACACCATCGCGGTTACTGTCAGCGCGAATATCAGGTATGATTGCGCTGGCTACTGAGCCAACTTGAAGTGCCCATATGATCACTGAAAGCAGTATGCGTAACATGATGGTAGCGGCCGAAAGAGTAGTCGAGGTAATGTTGGTATGTCGCTGAGTTTGATATGCGACTCTCCGGATGGGTTGCAAGTTCGATACCTTAAATGTTGCTTGTTGGAAATCCTGCCAAGAAACCACCGGACCTCGCGAGCTGGAACCTTTGCGCCTAATCCTCAGTTCAAACTTCTCCGCAGAGTTACAATGTTCTGTTGATCATCGTTGATTCCCTTGCATGCAATCTCTATACATTGAGTAAGGCTGGCAAGTAATGCCAAGATGGTTATCGCAATGAAAGGCTTCGTTGTCGTATTGCTAGGCAAGCTTCCCGGGAGCCAAGTTGTGTTTTGACCTCTAGGAACGGTGGGGGAAGAGATCGCGCAGGTTGAGGCCAACGATCTCGTCAGAAAACAACCTTATCAGCGGGGGTTGAAGTGATAGTATTTGGGTATCAGCATGTTGACTTAGCGGCAGCGTTTCTGCCGAAGAGAGTACATATGGGCCTGCCGTCTTGGGCAGTCCTTGCTGCATGGAGGTTACGGTCTTGGGGCTGCATGATCCTTTGCTGATAAGGATCTTCAGCCAATTACAAGACTTGCCCCTCACATCCGCTGCGACTTGCCGACGACCGACCTCACGGACTTAAGACAGCATCTTCGCATAGTATGTTTGTAATTATTCTCATTATGATGAGTTGGCATGCAGCCAAGAAACATCTGGGGGCTTTTCTTGGATGGGAACGTTTGTTATTATCGCAACTCTCCTAGGCATACGACAGAATCGAACGACGGGGAGATTTCTACACGCTTGAATGCAAGTGTGAGATGCGCGAGATAATCGCGAAGTTCATTCGGTGAGCGGCAGACTGGAGTTCAAGAATGAAACAAACCCAGCACGAAAGCTTGCAGCAACTTCCTGAGTTCCCTGCCAAACCAGGGCTTTCCCGTCAGCAGCTCGTCCTACAATTAAGGTGTACATTATGAAGAATCGCATCGTTGCCTTTTTCATCTTAGCGATACATGCTTCCATATGTGTTGCAGAAGCTCCTGTAAGTACCAATCAATCGGTCTCCCGGCATAAATCTCATGAATTCCAGCGTCTGAGTATTGTCGAGGCCTCGATAGACGACTTGCAGAATTCTCTGAGGGATGGGCGGATAAACTCTGTCCAGTTACTTGCAAAGCATCTTCATCGAGTAGCATACTACGACCGCCGTAACCATCGGCTTAACGCGATTCCAGTCCTAAACACCAACGCTTTCGAGGATGCTGAGGCTTCTGATGACTACCGAAGTGGCAACAACGGCAGCATTCGCTCTCTGCTAGAAGGAATTCCCTTCACTGCAAAGGACAGCTTCACGATGAAGGGACTGCCAGTCGCAGCTGGGTCTCCGGCGTTTAGAAATCTTACAGCCGGCGTTGACGCCTTCACGGTCGGAGCAATTCGTTCCGCGGGAGGAATCCCTTTGGGAAAGACGAACATGCCTCCGATGGCTAACGGTGGTATGCAACGAGGTCTTTATGGAAGAGCTGAAAGTCCGTACAACTCCTCTTACCTGGCAGCAGCGATGGGCTCTGGATCGTCAAATGGCTGTGGGGTTTCCACAGCTTCGAGTATGGCCGCATTTGGCTTGGCAGAAGAGACCGTATCATCTGGAAGATCGCCAGCTTCCAATAACGGCGTTGTTGCATACACTCCGTCGCGAGGTATGCTTTCTATCAGGGGCAACTGGCCCCTGACCTGTTCGGCAGATGTCGTCGTTCCACATACAAGGAGTGTTAAGGATCTCATGGCTATGTTGGACGTAATAGCTGTTACCGACCATCATACCGAAGGTGACTTTTGGAGAGGGCAGCCCTTTGTGGACCTCCCAAAAGTTGAGAATATTAGACCTGCTTCGTATACCACTTTGGCGAACGCAAGTGCGTTGCATGGCAAAAGGATCGGTGTCCCTAGGATGTTCATCGGAGGAAATGACCCGGCAGCGCAACCTGTCTTTCTTCGAGATTCTATCCGGGCACTGTGGGCGGACGCTCGCGTCACTCTTGAGTCATTGGGTGCTGAAGTGCAAGAGGTGGAGTTCCCTCTTGTTACGAATCATGAGGTTGTCCCGGCAGTCAATGAAGTCAATAGCGAATATCCCTTGCCATCGTATTTCAATGGCAGCGCGAGCCCGGGGGATATGGATGCGTATGCTTGGGATGACTTTCTACATATGGTCAATGACACCAGCAGTGTTACAACGCTTGCTGACGTTGACCCGGCGCTCATCTTTCCACAACTTCCTGGAACCATTCCCGACCGATACGGCAACCGCTTCGGAAACAGAACTCAGTCTAATGCACGCTATGTTGAAGCAGTCAAAAGTCGCACAGGCAAAATTGTCGACATCCCTGGTCTCGGAGCATGGCTTCAAAGTCTAGAAGACCGACGTGAGCGGGACTTGGAGGACTGGTTGGACGAGAAAGGGCTAGATGCTGTTGTATGGCCAGCGAATGGCGATGTCGGGCGTGAGAGAGTCGAGGTCGACAACGAAGCAGCTGTTCCCACGTGGAGAAATGGCGTCGCAAGATCATCTGGTAACTTCGCGATTCGGCAGCTTGGCGTTCCTATTGTAACCGTCACCATGGGAGCCATGAACGACACCGGTATGCCTGTCGGCCTCACATTTGCGACCAAATCCTACGACGATACTTCGATCATAAGCTATGCTTACGCCTTCGAGCAAGCTCACGACAAAGTCAGATTTGTCCCACCTCGAACTCCAGGGCTTGAGACAGACCTAATTCCCTTACGGCGTGGGAGGAAGATTCATGGCCTTTATGCTGCCCCTGAACTGAACGCCAGTGCTTTGAGAATTGGTGAACAGAGGGTTTTGATTAGGGGTACTGCCATGTTAGAAAGCTGCTGGGATCCAGATGTCAAGGTGGAAGTCCATGTCGACGGCATACCTGTGCTGCCTGTGTCATTCGAGGGTAGTGAGTGGAGCGTCACTGCAAACATCACCTTACCGTTTCAAGGGATCTCTCCTTTCGGCGAGGTCAATGTTCCGGATGCAAGTCTCGCTATGGTTGTCGTAGTTGCCACTGCGCCCAGCGGTCGGTCTGCGGGCAGAATGCTCTTCGTGTAGGGGTTCGCTGATGAGGCGTTGGTGTTGGAGCGTGGCCCTTCTTTTGTACAAGCAATTAATCTCTAGACAGAAGAACTTGAATCGTGGGCGGTGATGATATCGGATTACGCAAGATAATGAACAAGCAAACTGCCAGCCTCTGTCCACAGTCCAGCTTAAGGCGGCAACAGATCATACCAAAATGGTTCGTTCCCCGCGGGAGATATCTACCCGATATGCACATCTCCACTTTCGTTGACTCGGTACAGTTTCCAGCCACCCAGCGCTCCGGTTACGCTGGGGCTACCATCAGTTCCCCGGAGAAAAGAAAAACTTCAACCGTTCGTTTTTGTGATCCTTGAGGCACGTGGCCACCGACGGGGAAAGCTGTCAAGCTGATGTCTATCGGTGATACGATGTAACAAAGCTGCGCTGGCATGAGTGTTCCATCAAGGTCCATGTTTTTCGACAGTGCCTCCCTCCTGAACAACCAAAATCATCCGCACACACACTCAGCGCGAAATCGATAAGCAACAGGATAGTGTGTAACAAGAACAGCTTCTGCCAATCCCAACAAGTCGGTTCGCCGCCGGGGATTCTTTAGCGGGGATGTTCGGGGTAGGAAATGACCTGAGATAAGACCATTGAAAAAGACCAATTGCCGATCGTCGGATGTGGCCCGATATCCGGTCTCCACTCCCCTTGCTCATAACAGATGCGGCGACTGATAAAGACTCACGATTTCCCAGATTTCAGGGAGAGAAAGAAGACTTCGTGTTCGTGCTTCGGAAACAAGCCAACCTTCGAAAAAGCCGGCCGAGAAGCTTCATATTCACACACATCGAAATGGCTGCAACCGAAATAGCCTCCGATCCGGAGAAGCGGGCCGCCTCCGACATTAACCCCACTACCGGCCCCTCTCCCGGAGACGATGATCCGATCTCAAAGCACCACATCACCGATGAGACTGGTGATCTTGCCGCGTCTGCTCTAAACTCTGCTCCGTTATCCGAGGCGGAGTCCAAGGCCGTACTTCGAAAGATCGATCTAAGGTACTTGATTTGTGAAAATATGGGTTAACCACGCTTACCTGAACGAGGATTTTGCCTTTTCTTTGCATCACATATGCTCTGCAGTTCATCGACAAGACTTCGCTTGGATACAGCTCTGTTTGGGGAATCATTCCCGACAATAAGCTACATGGCCAACAGTATAGCTGGGCGAGCAGCATCTTTTACTTCGGATATCTGGTTGCGGAATATCCGGGCGTCGCCGTTCTCCAGCGCTTCCCGGTCGCAAAGTTTCTGGGTGCCAACATCATTCTTTGGGGCATGATCTTAATGACCACTGCGGCATGCAGCTCATTCGCTGGTCTCGCAAGCGTGCGATTCCTTCTTGGTGCCACCGAGGCCACCATCAGCCCCGGATTCGTCGCTGTTACCGGCATGTGGTGGTCCCGTCAGGAGCAAGCCGGTCGCTCGGCGATGTGGGTCTCGTTCCTCGGCGTCGGCAGCTTCATTGGCACGCTGCTCGCCTTTGGAATCGGCCATATCACCGGATCACTGTCTCCGTGGAAGTACATCTTCCTGATTCTTGGTGCCATGACCGTGGTCTGGGGCGTGGTCTTCACTATCTTTGTGCCTGACAGTCCTGCCAAGGTCAAGTGGTTGACGGAGCGGGAGAAGGTTATTGCTGTGCAACGTGTTGCCGAAAACAAGACAGGCACGGGGCGCAGCCGGAACTTCGTCATGGCCCAGGTTGTGGAGGCGGCCAAGGATCCAGCAGTTATTCTACTTGGCCTCATCTCGTTCGTCAACGCCATTGCTTCGGGAGGACTGGCGTTTGGCTCCTTGATCATCCAAGGTTTCGGCTTCAACTCACTGCAGACGACCCTCATGAACCTCCCGCTTTCGACGGTTCAAGTTGTTGCTCAACTTGGCGCTGGCTTCTTGACAAGCAAGATCTCTAACTCGAGACTGCATATTGGCACAGTTGCCATGATTCCTCCCGTGAGTCCGCTATTTCAAGGATGAGGAATGGAATAATTGCTAACATAAAAATTGCTCAGATCATTGGTACATGCTTGATCAACCAACTCCATTTGGACAACAAATGGGGCCGTCTGGTAGGAGTTTGGCTTCTCGGAGCTTATCCCGTCGGCTTCATGGTCATCCTTGGCCTCCTTTCTACCAACATCGCTGGTAGCACCAAGCGATCTGTTGCGTCCGGTTGGGTCTTCGTCTGCTACTGTGTTGGCCAAATCGCTGGCCCCCAGTTTTTCAAGAGCACAGAGGCGCCCGCATATCACAACGGAATCGTGGCCATGCTGTGCGGTTTTATTTTAAACCTGGTCATGAATCAGATTCTCAGATTCATCTACGTCCGAGAGAACAAAAAGAGAGACCAGATGCTTGATGGCAAGTCCGAGGAGGAGATTGCTGAAATGCAAAGGGAAGGTGAGGCACTGGGCTTTGAGGATGTCACCGACAAGCAAAACGTAAGTACGACTCTCAAACTCTGGAGCACAGGCATACTGACCTATTGGCCAGCCCATGTTCCGTTATGTTCTGTAACGATGGTTAGGGAATCATGCAATGTGACGCGTCACTATGCGAAGAGTAATGGTAGAGCACATAATGTGAACGTTGACAGAATGTCACTTCATGTACGGATCGGCCTAGAGCCCAGTCCATGCTATAATAAGTACATATGTGAAAATGAATCTTAGGCAGCCGAGCTGATTACAGTACTGTGAATCAGTAGTAACGAGAGAACTGCCTGACGTGTCTCTTCTTGCCAAAAGCGGTAGACTCAGTTGTGCTGTTGATGCCAGCTGCCAAAGTAGCGTCCAACTCAGTGACAACGCCAGTATCCACAGGCTTGCCCAGGTTGTTGGAGAAGGGTCTGACAACATCGCACCTCAGAGCCTGAGCAGAGCTCATTCTCTCCATGTGCGTGTTGTTCGTCTGCACAAACAACCTCTCGCGGCCCTCGGGACCGGTGAACGGCCTCCACTCAGCAGCGCCCTTCTCGCGGTCGGTGTTGGGGTCCAGGTTCTTGATGAAGGAGACCCAGTACTTGCGGAACTGTGAGATGATGGGCGCGTTGATGTTGAAGTACGAGTCGGGCGCGGATCCATCGGTGCGGTTGGGGCCCCAGAAGGCGTACGTGTTGACGGTGTGGTACGCACCGAAGCCCTCGGCCTCGTTCTTAGGGTCGAGCACGCCGTATCTGTAGTTGTAGGTCGTCACCTCGTCGCGGGCCAGGTAGTTCTGAATGTTGCGAACAATGCAGTGGGTGCCGACGTCGCCGATGGCGTTGGCGGCCTGGCGCCACTTGACTCCGGACTCAGGGAAGACGGGCTGGGGAACGTCGATGTAGAGGTCGTCGAGGATGGCCAGGGAGCTGTTGGAGAGGGAGGGGTCCTGGCCGAGGAGCCATGTGTTCGCCTCATCAGTGGAGTTGGTGGACTGCGGCGCGGAGTACATGGTTCCCTCGTTGGCGCAAGAACCCCAGATGGTCGGGACCTTGGTGTATTTGCCGGCCTCGAAGAGGTTGACCATGCTGTCTGAGAAGAGCTCGCCGTCGATTCCGGGGTTGAACCAGCAGCTGGATGAACGGACCTCAGACTGGTTAAGAGCACGCAGGCAGGACAAGGAGTCGGTCGCATCGGTGCAGTTCTTCTCCTTGACGAGGCAATCGTACTGGCCCTGGCCCTGCTCCATGGTTCTCATCGTGACCCAACCACCGGACTCGGCAATTCCGCCGGCGAAGAGCTTCTTGCCGCCAGTGTCGGCGGCCATGAGAAGGCCAACGGCGGAGCCACCAGCACTGACTCCATCGAGGACAACTTGCTCGGGGTTTCCGCCGAATTTCTCAATGTTGGTCTGAACCCACTCGAGAGCCTTGATCATGTCCCTGACGCCGGCGTTCAGACCACCGCCAGCGCGAACCTCCTCACTCTGAAGGAAGCCGTACATGCCAACGCGGTAGTTGGTTTGAACAACGATGACGTTGCCGTCGGAAGCAATCTCGCTGGCGTCCCAGTTGGCGTTGGAGTTCGAGCCGAATCCACCGCCCTGGATGAAGAAGACTACGGGCAACTTGGAGTCAACATTGGCACCAGAAGGGGCAGTGACGGCCAGGTAGAGACAGTCTTCATCAACCGTGAAGCGCTCATAGGTGCCGGTGACGGTCCAGTCAGTGGGCTGCTGAGGCGGGCAGATGGGGCCGTGGGCCGTGGCATTAACAGTGCCGGTCTGGACCGGATCGGCCGGGGCGGCGAAGCGGAGGTCGCCGACCGGAGGAGCGCCGAACTGAATGCCCTTCCAGGTTGTCACACCTAGATCGGCATTCGTAACGGCACCCTGAAACTTGGCATATCCGACATCGACAAGAGTGTCAACGGCCCGGACACCAGGGACAATGATGTTTGCGGCGGCAAGAAGCCAAGCCAAGTGAGATCCTTGCCACATTGTGCTGGGGTGTCAAATGCTGAAAATAGTGAATGAAGATCAAGCAAAGCTTGGACAATGAATGGAACGGTCTGCGATGGGACCTGAAGAAAAGAATGTAAGTAGTGCTAGCACCACGAGTGTCAGAATGCAAGAAGTTGTAACGATAGAATGATAGCTCCCACCGGCTGGTGGTAGATCTGCTCTGGTTATATGTGAATTCATATTGTTGGATTACGGATATTGAAGCTCGTCGGATTCATCCCACCAACCGACCTGTCAGGAGAGTTACCATCGTTAAGGTTCCGTCTACTGTGCTATTAACCCCTGTCCGAGTCATTGTTTCCCCTTACATGAAACGTTGGTACAGGTCGGTACAGGAAGAATTGGCGATGGAGCTCCGCTGGGCAACGAAATACTCGGGGTTGTCGCTCCGCAATCCGGTAGATGATGCTCCGCCAGAATGGGACCGATGCCTATTAGATGGGACGAACACCTGGTAGCTCCGGATCTGCATTGAGGAACATCCATAGAACACCATTTTACGCGGTACGCGGCTTTTTCAGGGGCACAGAACCGGACGCCCGGACAATTGTGAGAGTGCGGTGACTCGCCGATTGAGGCGATAGCGGGCGCGACTCTCGGATTCGCAGTGCGCCTTTCGGCCCCCGACAGGGGAGACCCGTGGTGGAACTCTCGCCAAGAGCCTCATATTGAATAACTTTTCTCTAGCTAGTCAGAAGTTTCCTCTGCGCTACTCTACAAATGGCCTGCGCCTTTAGGCTGTTATGGGGCCCCGCGCCGTTACACTTTCTTGGTCTTTTGGCGCAGCTCATTCAACCGCCGTGTCGGCGCGTAAAGGGGCTTGCTCCGGTTGTGCCGAATCGCACCGCGAACATTCGGTATCTTTCAATTCTCCATTAACTCCGAACTCGGGCATTCAGCACCTCCCTGGATTGAATGTGAGCAAGAATTCGCTGAATAAATACCAAAGGTCTGCCACTTACAAGAGCTGATCTGGTCGTCGTAGTCGCCTGAGTAGCCATCGCTGGCCTCACCCAGGTTGTAGTTGTAAGAAAGTGTGACGCCACGATCATCACCCTTATTGTTGCAGTCGGTAAACCTGCAGTACCATGTCAGCGACGACATTGCTTCTGATTGGCTCGGTTTCTTACTTGTAGAATTGGCAAAGACCACCGGTGTTGGTGCTCAGGGAGCTAGTCTGGTTGTCGTACTTGTCCAAGAAAGCCTGAGTCTTGTTGTAGCTAGAGAAGTTGACTAAGAGCATTGCTTCATCAGTTTCGAGCTCATAGCCTCGACGGGTCACGTCGCGTTGAAGAATCATGCTTACCGCACTTGCCAGGAGGGGCTCCCCAGGAAAGGCACTCTCCCCGGAACCCAGCATCAGAGCACTGAAGCACGAAAATGTTCTCGGGCGTGATGATGGGGCGCGTTCCATTCGGCTGGCCGTCCACAGGGACCGCCTGGCGCTTCTCGTTCGCCGTCGCAGGGCCCAGGTCAATGAAAGGAGCAGTCATGAACGCTGCGTAAGCCTCCGGGTGCGAAGACCTGAGCTTCTCGGAGAGAGGAACCACGGAGTTTTGCTGCACGGCCGGCGCAGCAATCGCCATGGAGGCGAGGGCGAGCGATGTGAGAGTTGTGAGCTGCATGATTGATGAGATGAGACTGTAACGAACGGTTGACTGTTATGCACGCCGATTTTCAAAGTTGACAGTAGATTGTCTGGTCTTAAGTTGGTAACGCGTGCATACATGAGAGGAACTACGGACCGGCCTATTATACTCGTCCGGAGGTTTTTCAAAACGGGAGGCCCTCTTCGAACGACATTGTCTGCCCGGTCATCCCCGTCCAGAAACGGCCCAGGGCGAATTAGGTTTGTACCTTGAGGTGAAAGTTTCCAAGTGACCCGTTGATTGCCCTTTAGCCGATACCGTCGTATAATTTGATCGGTGCAAACAGCGATGATCTCGGGATTTTGAAGTTGGCTGTGTTCGCTTCCGAGGAGGCGCATAACCCAACATCAACTTCCCAACTCCCTGGAACCCGGGACAGTTAATGAAGAGTATGGAGTTGAGAGCCTTTATGTTGCACCCGGTTCATCCGAATTATTGTGCTTTGCAGATTGCTTAAACTCTATTTCTCGTCGGAAATAATGGTGGTGCGACCCCCTGAATCGTAATCCGAGAATTCTCTCAAATGCGCGGAGATGTCCTGGATTGTTTCGAGATCATCTGCCAGGCTCATTGTTGCTACTTAATATGAGCTTAATGGTACTCAATAATATCCTCAATGGTATCGGAGAATATTCCCATCTATTTGAGCATAGGGGAATCATCTATCGCAGCAAGCCACAGGATGATCGTTGCCGCCAGGGTACTGTTTAACGCCTCAGTCTTTGATCTGCTCTGATTATCGTTCAACTGCATTTCCACTTGCCGTGATCAAAGCCATATTTAGTGTCGGTATCGCGCGTGTAGATGTATCAATTGAGCAAATCCGGCAGTTGCGCCCATTCCTGACTGGCTGGGACTGAGTAGTGAAGAGGAAAAGACTTCATCGGGGGGGGGAGAAAACGTCTAGTATTCGCCTGCGCAAAAGGTCATCAGACAGTGCCAACTAAAATGGAGCAGGATTAGTTCTTCGGAAAGATTTGCGTCTCTTAAAAGGAAGACGAGTTCTCACTCTTAGTAAACGGACATCATCGTCTGAGAAACCAGCTATTTGGATTCAAGACTTTGTCAAACGAGATCGTCTGATACTGGAAGGTGCATATTGGTATTCTGCGATTGAGTTTGATAGTCTGCGCCTGTTTCTTTTACCCAGCCACAACACCGCCGGCTTGGGAAGTTTGCTTCACACCACATTCCATGTTGACGTCTACCGGGCGGGCGGAATTTTGAGGCCGAACACGGCGAATCGGGCCCAGCCCACCCCCGCAGTCTCGGCACCTCGACAAAGAGTGGGAACGCCCCCGAAGGCGGGAATTCTTCCAACACACACGCCGGGTGATGTAAGTACACAGCTTATGCAAGACTGCCGTTTGTCGCCGTTGGGGCGTGCTTGCTGACATCTGTGTTATGTGCCCTGAGCCTCTCCTGCCACGAGGTCATCGAAACTACCGCGGGACCAGCAGCGGAACACAATTCCGCTTCAGTATTTCCACGGAAAATTAAGAAATTGTGCACGAGTCCAAGCCTTGACATTCGAGCTTGGGCCTGGGGGATCAGCGAAGCGAGACCGCTAGTGAGCAATAGTCGCTCCGTCCGTCTCAGTTGTGATGGGTTGCACTTCTTCGTGGGCCTCCGTAATTTGGGCCCTGGGTGAACGGGTCGATGCTACGCACTGACCGGGACCATAGGGCTGGTGTAGATCATCCGGTCTTGACGTGGATGGGTGTTTTGTCAATCCGGCACTGCCTGGCAGACAAAGATGGCTCCACGATGAGCCATCTTATTGTCAATGCAAACATTACCCAAAGGTATTTGTCGTTTCGTTGTATGACTCTGTCAGTCGTGTCATTTTGACATTCCATCACAAATGCCGAAGTCTTCAATGGGTTCTAGCTCCTCTCTTAGGTCTGAAACTAGCAGCCCCTCGCCTGATCAACCAGAGGGATGGGCAGTGGCTGGCCTCGCGAGGCATTCGGGGCATCCGCTAGCACGGTAGCGCCGCATGCGTCCAGAGCTAGGGAGAGTCCGGCAGCCTGGAACCGCGCTCTTGCCTTTGTGCAGCCATGTCGCGTGGGAGGAGCGGGAAAGGCTTACCACGTAGAATTAAGAGGCTTTTCGTCAATGAAGAATTTCGCGGCGCCACATACGCTCGGGATCGAATACTGCGTGTCAGGGGGTCCGATGTGATGTTCTCTTTATATCGGACGTGGGCTCCAGCTATCCTCTGCGGGAGAGCGTGAATGCCGTGAACTCTCTACGCCAACGAAGGCAAACCTACTGCCAAAAGGTTCCGTCACGACAAGCTCGCCAATATGAGAATTCCCCCGATCAGCGTCATCTTGGCTTGGCCGCGGCCGAATTACACGAATCCGGAGACGAAAGGGCCAGGGTTGATGATCATTGAGTTGGTGTTCTTGCTCATGGCCTTGACATGCTTGGGATTGCGCATGTACGTCAGACTGGTCATGATCCGCAAGACTTGGTGGGACGATTGGCTTATGGTGGGAGCCATGGTAAGCTCGCACATCTCGAACAACATGTAAAGATGGGCCATGGTTAATCATGTGGGATGACAGGTTTTCTGCATCGGCGTGACGATCTGCGTTATCCTCGGTTCGAAGCCCTCTACAGAGTGATCAGTAACTATTCAATGCTAATGATTATGGACTAGCAACGGAGTTGTACGGTTGGAATCTACACGTATGGGACGTACCATTGTCTGAAATCCGGCAAAGTCGTCAGGTAAGGGTCACCAGTACACAACGAGACTCCTGACTTACTGACGCAAATATCACAGATCTCAATGGCGGCGCAGACGCTGTTTCTGTTTGCATCTGGCTTCTCGAAGCTTTCGATTCTCTGTAGCTACCTGAGGATTGCCGCCCCCGGCACCTGGTTTTCCCGCCTCACCTGGGTCACGGGCATCCTCGTTTTCCTCTTGACGTGGATCTTTATGATTGTCTTATGGACTCAGTGCGCGTAAGTCACCCGACCTGAATAACCGCGCTCTATCTAGAAATTTCAAATGCTGATCTTGGGGCCTGATCCAGACCGATCTGGCACTATTGGACCCTCTTTGCCGACTGGGGCAATTGCATCCCAGAGTGGCCCCCGCTGGCCGGCCAAGGCATCACGACCGTCATGACCGATATCGCCGTCTATCTACTTCCGATGCCTACACTGTTCAGACTCCAGATGCCGATGATACAGCGCATCAGCTTGGCGGCGCTCTTCGGTCTTGGCCTGTTAGTGGTCATCGCGGGCATCATGCGCACATACTGGGTGCTGTACGTCGAGATCACCTACGTCGAGGACCCGAGTTACGATCTGACGTGGGATTCGTACAATATCTGGATCTGGACAGCTCTCGAGGCCAATTTCGCCATCATTTGCGGCTGTGCACCCGCGATTCGACGACTATTCACCAAAGGTGGGAATCAGAGTCAGTTCAAGGTCGGCAGCTCCGTACAGACAATTGGCTCCTCAGGTATGAAGAGAAAGAGGGGCAAAGGGGGCTCAGGAAACGACTTGGAAGGACATGGACTCTCAGCTTTCGAGTCGAGAGCGGATAATGATAACGATGCGTCTGTGACGGAGCTGGTACATTTGGAGGGTGAGGATAAAAAGACATGAGTTATTGGCCGTTTAGTAGCCAGCAAACCAACAGCTTATGGAAGTTGTATTCTGTTCGTAGTGGAAGCATTGCACCACGTCTGTTATCCTCTCCGTGTCCTTGTCAACAGTGCTCATAATCCAGCTAAAGTTCATTGTTGCTTTTTCCAACTCTAACATGCTGGACCTGACCCTGCTCAATCCCACCCTCACCAGAAAAGCGTAAATATGTGTGTTGAATCATCAACAGTTTCAATCGGTTTCTCTCACAGAGCCTTGCCGTTGAGGTATATGGAAGGCGCGCCGGGAATGTCTAACATCTCTCGTAGGTCATGGAGAGCCCTCTGCTGTGTCGGCCGATTTCGATGGACGATGCAAGCTGTCAGGCTGATTCGTTTCAGCTGTCGCAGTTGACCCTGCCTACTCAAGTCGACAATTTCTCTCAGACCAACCTGGAAAAGCTCCTCAAGAAGGAACTCGTCGATATGACTTATTTCCAAAGTCTCAAAGCATTGCGGGATCATCTTGCCGACGTTGTTCGTAATGAGATGACTCTGATTCCAGGTCCGAGAAGTAAAGCTGGGCGTATCGACGCTCAGCTTTTGAAGTTTGGAAAAGTCCTGCAAAGAAGTGATTGTTTCGCTGTCGTCCCAGTCAAAGAGAAACTGAGTGCTGTGCAAATCGATTTTGAGTGTGCGCAGCTGGCGATGGAGGTTCGGTAGTTCATGCTTGGTTGTGTCACTGGCCTGGCTAGCTGCAAGATCGTACCCGTTCCCGAGTAGATTGCACAGCATTTGTGGCCCAATGAGGGGTTTCTTGGAGGTTTCGGTACCCGATGGTATTCCGTGATACTCGAAATATGTAATGTTTGGCGTCGCCTTGAGAACCTCCGTCATGCTTCTCAAGTCCATCGAGCAATTGATGAGCTTCAGACTCCGGAGGTTCACAAGCTGACATTGCAACGGAATTGACAAATTGTATAGGACATTGAGTTGTATATCTCCAAGGTAAAGAGCCTAGGGGCATCTTTAAGGATAATCTGGTGGGCTTTGCATTTTCGTGCTTTAGCGGACCGCATCTGGATCTTGAGGTGTCGGAGACTTGGGAGTAGATCATTATATTCCGATGGTTGATTTTCAGTCCATTGTTGCAGTAGGTCAGATTTCCAGTTGTGGCACAGATTGACATCAAGAGAGGTCAAGGCGGGTAGGTATGTAAGAAACACCTGGCTGATATGCTCCAGGACATGATCGAACTGCATCCCGATACGACACCTGTTCCACCCATCCGGGAAGTGCATGCCCAGAGCTCCAGCCAAGCGGTTGATCCAGGGGTCGTTTGTCATATCCTCTTGCTCTTTCGACCAATTGATGTCGTCGCTGCTGCTTTCGTACAAGTTGTGGTGAAGGTCTCCATGGCGCACGAGCTCGGGGCGGGAGCTACCTTCGTAAGGGTCGAGAGTTTTCAGGAAGGTGACAGCTTTTGAGGGGTGATGATTGTGATAGTAGCCCGAGTATAGCATACAGCCTGCCGCATCATGCAACTTGCGACATGTCCGCATCAATCGAGCAAGGGCGATTCGGCATGCGAGAGAGTTGACCGTCGAAACATCGACTGGGGGGTCGTATATATGTTGCTCTGTCTGTAACGGGAGGACAAGCTGGTGGCAAACTTCGACGATAACCTCTGGCGAGCAATCCGTCAAACGCGTCATGTTTGGTTAAGAAAAGTCAAAATCTGATCTAAGTTTCCGGGCAAAGATCATCATAGACATCATGATTTACGAATCATTGTTGGCTGGTACGGGCATCTTTCTTCTAAATATAGCCCGACTCCCGTGAATTAAGGAGCAATAACAGCTTCGACAACCAAATGAACGACGGCATGCGGTCAATGTTTGTTGTCAAATTGATGACAATTGTAGAAAATATGATCCTTCTCTTTGTGCCAGCAGTTCCTGAATACAGGCCCAGGGAGGCAGCTGGGGCTGTCGGTTATCTTTCTCAGCAACGAAACTTGAGACCTTCGTATTAAAAATGATATTTCAATGGTTATGCTGAGACATGGGGATAGGATCAATAGCACGAAACACCCAAAAAGGAACCCGTGAGATTGTACTATGTCAATCGTGGTGAGGATTTGAGCCTCACGCGGGGGTCGAACCCGCAACCTTGAGATTAAGAGTCTCACGCTCTACCGATTGAGCTAGCAAGGCGGGTCAGATGGTGATGCGGTGGGTCCTGAAGCCTGGGAATATCATTCGCTAGCGCCAGCTGAGGGCTGGAATCACGCCTGATCTGATTGCGATCTCTCAGATCTACATTCCAGAAACCTGAGGGGTAGTATGGAACCTTTCGAAGAACATTAGGTAAAGCCCGAATTGGCAGGTGAAATGTGACTGTCAGTTTTTTGACTACACCACTCATTTGCTGTTGGTGGCTGAGTCTTTTTGTCGAAGTCTGATGACAAGGTTCATGCAGGGGACTTTCTGTATTGTCATGATGACTCTATCAGCACTGAATAATTTCTCTAGAGAAGAACCAACCTGCATGGTACTTTTCACGAGACCTGATTGGTTCCCTTCGAATTGAACTGGTGTTTTGATCTTTCCATCCATCACTCAGCTTTTGAACGAGCGGTCTTCTCTCCTTGGTCCTGTTGCCTAGGATTCGCCTGCCTGGGCAGACAAAACGGAACTGGGGCTATTCCGTGTCCTCGCTTACTAGCTGGCGCAACCATGATAAGAGACAGCATAGCGAGCAGAAATTGCCAAAGTCTTTGGTAATGTGGCGTTTTGGCCGCCGCGCTTGAACGCAGTCATTTCTCATACCGCGAGTCGTTGGAGGTTAGAAACAGTTCGTGTTCTCCGTCGAGACGAGCACCAATCGCTGTCAAGGGAAGTCGGGAATATCCCCGCTATCCCTGTCCCGTTGGTAAGCTCTACGTCGTAGGCGAGGAATCATAGGATGATCCGCGTACCAATCAGACGCCAAAGTCAATTTTCGTCAGCAACCATTGATCCACCCGCTGGTTCCCCCTTCATCTAATTGCTGAAGCCCAAAGCCTCGCACAACGAAACTTGGGCAGGCTTTTTCTGTCTACAGCTGACACGTGCCGAAGTCCTGTTTCGACCCAGGGACACCCCGTCTTGCCTCTGGCACAGGCACAACCCGGTGAGCAGCAAGCAAGCTGTATTTTTCGGCAGTGAGAGACGGACTCGCAGAATGCGAACCTTGTCCGCTTTCATCCCCCCTTGAAGTGTCTCACTTTGCATGCCCCCATTGGCTCGCCGTCAGCGAGCTGAGCTGACATGACAGGGTCTAGAATCCTGACGCTAATTCCTCTTGTCAATATCCGAGCCCTAACAATTAGGCTCTTTGACAATTTGATGATCTGATTTGATGCGCGCTGACCGCCGGGCAAGCAAGGTATTCTACCCCGTGCTGCGCCGAAACAGGAGTCTTCCCCCCTCAAGAGAGAGATGCCACAAACGGCTGTCTGCAGCGGTTTTCCCTCTCGCCCACCACCACCCCTTGCGCCAACCGGCTCGACTCGACACAGCTCGAAGAGGGGGGGACTCTTCACCCGCTCTACCGCTCTCAGCAATGAACCCCGGCCCCAACGCCAAGTCGACGGCTGCCCAAAATTAGCGCCATGTTGGATCTGCCACAGAACCAAGGTTGCTGCTGCTCTCAGGTGACATGAGCACGGGATGGCGCGCACAGGGGAGCAGGTTGTTATTTGGTACAGCGACCGGCCCCCAAATTAGCAGCAAAACTGTGACGCAGGGAGCGGAAGTGACACCACCACCACCACCATCATTTTGCTGCTCTACTACTGTCTGCTGCTGCTGCTTGCTGCCCACCGTGTGGTTCCTGGCCGTCTGGCGTAAAACTATTGAGCGGCCAATTCCCACAGCCTCCTCGGTCGCTGCGCCTGGTTCGTTCTTTCGGCCCCTCCAAAACTTGAAACACACCTCTTCAAGATCATCAGAGCCTCTCCATAGGCCACCTCGGACTTTTTCTGATTGTCCCTTTTTTATTGTTTTTCCTTTCGCACACAACCCGCGCCCGCACCTCTTGGTTCCTGGCTATATTCAATTAGGGGGTGAACTTGGCCTTGGACTGGAGGGTAAAGGCAAAGGTACCTGAGGGCTAGCTGCGGTTGAGACCGGCCCGTTTTGTACCTTCTTTTCTCTCCTCTCCATGTGCCTGTTCGAGTTGGACCGCGAGCAACAATGACAAGAAAGGGCCAGCCAAAGGTTCGAACCGGCTGTCTGACCTGCAAGTAAGTACCTGCTCTTTCTTCGACTACCCTCGAACTCTCGGCCCTCGACTCGGTTCCGCCCGGCGGCAGCTCACTTCCCGGTGCCCCAAAAAGCCCGCATGACGTCGTTTGCTAGACCCGACGGTCTGGAACGGTCCCGCGCCGTGACGGAGAGTCTCCGAGACGAGGTCGCGGAGGCCGGACGGGCGACCGGTTCAAGTTGCCTCTCGGTCACTCGGGCTGATCGGAGAGTCCGACTCACGTGCTCGGTTACTTCATCCGATTACTCATAGACATTCCCATTCTAATTCGTACGTTCGTCTTCCCGTAGGTCGCGCAAGGTGAAATGCGACGAGGCAAAGCCCGCTTGCGTTCGATGCACCAGCACCGGCCGCAAATGCGATGGCTACGCCGTCGTCGTCCCCAGTAACCGCGCTCTCGCCCGGGCTCGGTCACGGGCGACGAAGTTGAACGCTGCTCTGGCTCAGGCATCGGCTGCGTGGGAGGGCGACATGGACGAGGAGAAGATCATGGAGCACTTCCGACGGAAGATTGCGCCCATGATACCCGGGCATCTGGAGGGAAACTTGTGGACCGACATCATACCACGCATGAGTAGGACAGAGCCGGCGTTCCGAGAAGCGATGGCTGCCATCTCGACGCTCATGCCTGGCATGCCCGACAACGCGTCTGACGATGGCAATGCACCTGGAGTTCCTGAACCCTACACCCGGCTCTTGGGCATACTTGGGGGAAACACCCGGAAGCAAAAGCCCGGAGTGGACACGCAGGCAATGAGTGGCCAGTCGAGAGCTCCTTTCAACCTTGCCGGCATCGTCGACTCCCCAGCAAGCTCGTCGTCGACCAGTCTACCATCGACAGGTCGCCTATCGAACACTCCCCTCCCAGATGGAAGCCGAGCAGAGACATCATCAAGCTCGTTCACACCACCTCAACCATATAATGACGAGGGCGAATCAGATCCAAAGGAGAACAGTGAGGTCAATGTCACTCTCTGTGGCTGCCTACTCTTCATGTCCGTCGACTTTCTGCGAGAAGGCCTTGGGGCGGCGATGGAACAACTTGCCACGGGCATAGAAGTGCTCAATAACGTGGATTATAGCGAGCTGTCCCGAATGACCATCGAGGACGTTCTCCCCAAGTTCTATCGATTGAGCATCATCCAGATGTGCTTCTACGACAGACCTTGCTTTCCTAACCTAAACCTAAACCATGGACCCGCATCGAGATACAATCTAGGTCCTTTCGACAAAAGCTTTAGTATATACCGACCGCAGTCCGCGATGGACACCATCATCCTAGACGCCATCAGGTACATCCGCTCAGCAGGCCCCGAATCATGGACAGATTCACGCCTAAGGGGCCCCGTCATGAGCGACGAACAGACAGCCATGTGCAACGCGTTTGACAAATGGCACGCTGCCTTCACGGCCTTCATTCGCGAACCACGACTCGGATCCGACCAGCCCCTACCACCACACGCCGAGATTATTTGCATGGAGACGGAGATGAAGTACTGGGTGGCCAAGATGTGCATCAGCGTGTGCCGGTTCTCGGACGAGTCCGCCTACGACTCCTTCAAGACCCACTTCAGACGAATCACAAACCTCGCGCAAGAAATTCTTACCAGGTGTCCAGAGCTTCCGCCAGACTCGTCGCTGTATAGCTTCAACTTTGAGATGAGCTATCTCCCATTGATGGAGTTCGTCATCTCTAAGTGTCGCTGGCTCGACATCCGTTATCAGGCCTGGCTCATTGTCTGCGAACTCGCCACCGGACGGAGGGAGCCGGTCACCCTTGGGAATTTGCACCTTGTTGGGCAGCGCATGATTGAGCAGGAGCACAATGTCAAGATACAGGAGGTAAATCGAGAGAACGCGCCACTATTCTCGCTGCCGGCCGAGGAGATGCGCGTAAAGGATTATAGCACCGATCAGCGGTTCGCGGATCTATCGGGATCCGTCGAGGGCGACAACTCGACTTCAGTGCAAGTACCGTACACCCAACGGTTGATGCTTAGGTGTGGCAGCTATGAGCTCGACGAGCTGGCAAGATGGGTGTCTAGGGGCGCCCCCTCACAATAGCATTATTCATCAGTAACGAAACGACTTATGAGCAAATAGCCCCTACTCTTTAGCAAAATCAAAAAGCATCAGATCCTCTTAAAAATACGTGTTATTCTGGATGTGGCATCTTCACCTTTCCTTTTCAAGGCCAGACCAAGTCTGAACTCTATCCCTCCAGGTTGTGAACCCGTTGCGCAAATGCTCTTGCGCAGGTCTACCAGGTCATTCCAGGTCTACGATCGTTACGGAGAAAGATAACGGACAATGATCAAAGGAGTGATCTCTCGCACGTGCATGTGAAATTTTGCATCCGCTTTCATCTTCCTATACCAACCCACCAGCGCTGTCTTTCCACACCAACCCCACAACACCAACCTCATGGCGAACTCACAGAAGCATGCAACTACTGGTGTCGAGGACATCGTGGTCTACAATGGTGACCTGATTGGTGATCTGAGAAAGACACGGAATATCCTACGGGACTTAGTCCGACACAGCCGTTGCTGCGTCTACTGGGAAGTTCTACAAAAGACGTATGTCAGCCAATGTGGACATGGCATGTGCATGAAGGTACGTGTTTCACAAGGTGACGATGAGTTCACATGTTGACTTGTCTCTTGTAGTGCGCATCGCAAATGTTCGAGGCCTTAACTGAGCAACTCCAAACGACAACGTGTCCTCTATGTCATGAACTCATAACCCAGTTCCCCTTCATGTTAAGGGGAGGCCCTTCCAAAATTACACATTCGTATACAGTACGTTTTCGAATGTCTGGAACAAGTAAGTCTCAATGTCTTGAGACTCCAGCTGATGCTTTCGTACAGATAGATCAAGTTTATGAGCCTTTGCGTTTATGGGCAGCGGAAAACATGGACATAGAGACTGGGGAACTTGCGAGAAGCCCAGAGATTATTTCGAGCAGGTTAGAGCCCGCGAAAGATTTCCAAGACGACAAGGACTGCGATTTCGCTGATGAGACGATGGAACCTTTCCACTGGGTTGCCCTCCTCCTCATTATCAGTTTATTCGTATTGCTGTAGCTTCAGGAGTACCCGGAGACTTAAAGATCTGGACGAGATGGAAATGGATTGAAGTCCTCAAGCATCTCATCGAAAGGTTGGAGAAGCTTGAACCGTTTCTCAACGAGGTTGCAGGCGAACTTCTGTAGGTGTGGGGATTGGATGGATAAACCCTGGTTGCTACTTGATCTTGTTTTTCCGCCGCATCGAGCCCAAACTTCTCTTCAAAAGCCCTCGGTCAAACATAGAAAATTTCAGACAGCGGTACTTTGGGTTCCAACTCTTCCAATTTCACTTAGCATCATGGTCATAGTCGAGAAATGCCTCGCAGACCTCGAGGCCTCTAATAGTCTTCACAGACTCTTTGCAAAGCGTGTAGAAGAAACCGATAGGCTCCGCAAGCTGCTCGACAAAACAATCACAAAAATTTCCTGCTAGATCTGCCTAGAGGTCCTGCAGCCCATGCATACTCCATGTCCTCAGTGTGGACACAGCATTTGTCTGCAAGTAAGTGTCTCCAAACCCCCAACCAGTTTATCAGTGGCTTACTGGCTGATCAGTCCTGGTGCGCACAAAAGGTTTGCCTTCTACGGTTGGAAGGAGAGCATGGGCCATCTTGCCCTCTATGTCGAAAATGCATTCATTATGTGAGTGATGGGCAGAAGCTTAACTTGACATCCACAAGTGCGGTATGGTATCATTCTGATTGATCTTTTCGACGTATACTGAAGCTAAAGTACGGTGTAGATAAATGACATTCGCGAACACTTGCGCCAATGGTTGGAGGACGAATCAAGCCAAATCACCAGGGTTAGAACGAACGTGACAAAAGCTTGCGGTGCAGACTACTCATTGAACGTGTCACTATTTATGTGCGGAATATTTCTTTGTTACATAATTACAGGAGTTGCTCTAGTGTTATTGAATTGAGCACATGAAGACAACATATCTGGTCGTGCATCACCACATGGGGACTTCTCCGGTCGCCGTGGAGGGAAATCTACATGTACGTTTCAAGAAGCCCAGGGAAATGATTTCGCGCATTTCACTGAGAATCTAGAGGCCTCCTCATGAATTACCAACTCAACCTATCTCATTGGGACAGCGAGATGGCGAGAAGCGATGGCAGGCGCACTACACACGAAACAAAAGTGCTAAGACCAGTAGTTCAAAAGGGGTGATGTTAAAAATATACAATGTCCAAAAAGTCACGTACTGTAGTTGATGAAATCGAAGTTTTCCCGGTATTTCCAAAACCAATCTTAGGAAAGTCTAGACATTCACACAAGTAATATGACCCTCCCTCTTCTCAAATCTCACCCTTCAGCGCCTTCAATAAGCCATCAGCGGCATGCTCGCCCAAAGCATCCAAATTGCCCATGCCCAGAAGCTCCAACATGCTGATGTTGAATCCGAATGTAGCTCTCCACCAAGACCTCATCTCAATAGCGACCAAAGAATCCATGCCCAAGTCAGCCAGCGAGGCTGATGTCTGAATCTCATCGTCACTACGAAGGACCAGACTGAATAACTTGCGACCAATTTCATGTGCCAGAGTTTTAGCGGTATCCGGATCCTTGAGAGCCGCCTCGTCGTGCCGAATCGTCGCCAGAAGTGCCTTCATCGTGTCACTGCCAGCACCTGCTCCGCCATCGCCGTCGCCGCTGATGTTGCGATAAGCCGCCATCCGCATGTCTTTCTTCCACAGGGCGCGGTTGTTGGGGCTGTTCAGAGGTATCGTGGACGCCAGACCAAGGACGAAGTTTCTGTTTATCGATGAGCTTCGGCACATGATCATAGCTGCACCGACAGCTTCCAAAAGCTCCGTTTCTTTGATCATGTAGGCGCCAGTTGTGAGCATGGCCCTCCGGAGATTCTCGTTGTTGGAAATGACACCGATATCATCGACTGCCCCAACGTCAATAGAGACCACGGGAAGACCCTTGCTTGAGCGGAATTGAGCGAACGCATCCAGGAAGGTGTTGGCGGCGGCATAATTGGCTTGGCCTGGCTGACCGATGACACCGGAGATTGACGAGAAGAGAACGAAAAAGTCGAGGTCAATGCCCTCCGTAGCGTTGTGCAGGTTCCAAGTTCCCTCGACCTTCGGTGATGCTGCTTGTGTCCACTCATCAAGAGTCATCTTATCCCATGCCTGGTCCCGCAAAACCATTGACATTTGCAGAATGCCCTTCAGATTCGGCGCATGCCTGACTGCTCTTTCAACATCCTCGGCGGAAACGACGCTGCCCTTGACCAGGGTAACCTTTCCACCCATGCTTTCCAGTTCCCGAATGAAGTGCTTATCCTCATCGTTGCTGCCGGCACTTCGAGAGAGGTACACCAGGTGTCGTGCGTTGTGCTCCACCATCCAGCGGGAAACGGCGCGACCGAGACCTCCCAGACCACCCACCAAGAGATACGATGCTGACTCGTCGAGTTTGGCAGATGTTCTCCTCGTGACAGTGCTGGTGTCCATGTTGAGAGAGGCATTGGATGAGTTGCGAATGGAGATGACGATTTTCCCCATGTGCAAGCCCTGTTGCATGTAGCGGAAAGCCTCCCTAATCTTGGATGCACTGAAAATCTCAATAGGTCGAATGGGGAGAATGTGGCCAGCCTCGTAGGCCTCAACGACGGACTTCAGAAGCCTGCGCATAGGTTAGGAAAACATCCACCAAATCTGGTCGTTCAACTTACTCCTTGCAGAGGGCTTGCCTCTTGAAGCAGATCTGATCGAGATCAACACAGCAGTAAGACCTATTGGCGAGGAAAACATCCATATCAAGCTTTCCACAGCCAAGGAGATCTCTCTTTCCGATCTCTACCATCGTACCGAACTCAGCAACGCATCGCCATGTAGCGTGCAGAAGATCGCCAGAGAGCGAGTTAAGCACAACGTCGATTCCCTTGCCCTGGGTGGCATTGCTAATTCCTTCAACAAAGGAGGTGTCGCGGGAGTTGAAGATCCGGTCTCGAGGCATGTCGAAAGTCTCTGTCAGGTACTTGACCTTCTCGTCATTGCCGACTGTGACATAGATGTCGGCACCAGCCATGCGTGCAAGCTGAATGGCAGCGATACCGACTCCACCGCAGGCGCTATGAATGAGGACAGACTAGATGGCGATCAGTAGCCGTTTTGTAAGATAATTAATCAAACGAAAGCACTTACTTGTCCACGCTGAAGTCGTCCGATGTTGAAGAGTGCGTACATAGCGGTGGCGTACACACAAGGCATTGTCGCAGCATCTTCAAGAGACAGATCATCCGGAATCTTCTGGCAGAGATTCTCGGGAATAGTGACAGAGGTTGAGAAAGACCCGCGGCTGAAAAGGAAAACGCGATCTCCAACTTGAAGATCTTTGACTTCAGGACCAATTGCGGAGACGATGCCTGCAGCTTCAAGCCCAAACCCTTCTTCTGGAATCTCAACAATACCATTGGCGCTGAGGACATCCTACGTTCATGTTAGAAATTGATATAGAGAGGGTGGGCATGAAGTGACTTACTCTGAAGTTGAGACCTGCGGAATACGTCTGGACTTCCACTAGATCACGCTCGAGTTTCTGAGCTTCTCGGCGAACCCAAGTGAGCGCAGCCAAAATGCCCGGCTTCTTGGTCTCCAATACCACGCGACCGGAGTCATCGGCTGCAAGGAGCTCATCCTCCAATGGGAATGGCGCGAAACGTCCAACATGGACGACATTGCCGACGATTGAGTACTCATAGTCGGGATCAAGTTCCTCGTCCTCATTGACACAGTCACTCTGGAACTTCTCAAAGACTTCTGCGATACGGCCTGTAGAAGCTTCAAAGTTGTCAACTTCGCAAGTGGCGAAGCGAACCGACAGCTCGGATCTCAGAGTACGAGCGGTCCCGAGGACCTGGCTGTATGAAGGGTCTTCGCAAGCCATTTGGCACAAAGAAGTGACCCAGAGCAGCCGCGATCCGCTCGTGTTAAGTGTGTCCACAAGCTTCTTGAAAGCGTCGTATCGATGCTGGTCGAGGTTGTTGAAGAAACTTGAAGGCGAGTGCAGGTCGAGAACAGCAATGACATCTTCACCTGGAGGAACCTCATCTCCCAAAATACGTCGAGTGACCTTGTACCCAGAAGCATCAAGAGCCAAGGTGAGCGGGTCAGATTTGTCGCTTCTCGCGATCTCCAACAGTGTGACGTTGTTGACCGCCGCAGCGACCTCGATGCCCTTGTCGTCAATGGGCTTCACCACCATGAAGTTGTTACGACGCAGGGACTCCTGCTCAGAGTCAGACAGAATAGCTGATGTACCAAGACCAGCCTTTCTAAGTGCGGACTCCCAGTGTTCGGTGTCTGCATAGGGCTCGTTGACTCGGCCATCCTTCTGAGCGCTCCACCACCATGGAAGGACGCCCAAGACCAGGTTGATCCACTTCGAACTGGAGAACAGTTCCGTGAGAAGAAGACGACCGCTTGGGCGAAGCAACTTGCGAACATTGGAAAGCGCATCAGTCAGGGCAGACGACGCGTGCAGCACATTTGTTGCAATAATGACGTCGTACTGCTCGTCGCCGAAGTTCTGTTCCACCAGATCGCGGCTGATATCCAGTGTCGCGAACTGCATGTTGGGCGTGAGCTTGAACTGCTCCTTGGCTGCGTTCACCATGCCGGACGAGGAGTCGCTGAATGTGTAGCTGGAGTACATTACGCGTCCATCTTCGAGCGCCAGAGTCTTCAAAATGTCTGCAGTATGGTCACCCGTGTCACCGCCGAGTTCCAGGATCTTCAAATTGGGCTTGCTGTGTGAGATCTGCCTGACCAGAGGGGCAAAGTCGAAAGCCAAGTCCCGTAGTGAGTTGACGTGACTGAGGCTGTTGTCCTCAATCAGCAGACCCAGAGGATTGTCCTGACCTTGGAAGATGGTGGTGATACGGCTGGCTACTTTGACGATGGCAGAAGCTACACCAGAAGCCGGGGTATTCTCCAAAGCGAGAGCCTTGTCGGTGATGACCTTCAATAAGTCCTCGCTCTCCGCCCGCGGACCACTTGAGATCTGATCATTGACCCAGTCGAGGTACAACTTCAAATGTGGAACCGGAGTTTGGAGGCCTTGAAGCTGTGCTTGAATGTAGTTCAAGCAGGTCCAAGTAATCTCGTCCAGAACAGTCATGTAAGCTGCACGTTTGTCGTCCGCCTCAGAACGCTTGACGAGAGTGGCTTCATCTTGAAACTCGATGTGAGGAGTCCATTGATATCTGGCGGTAGGATGCGTGTCCTTGGCATCCGTGGAAGTCTCTTGGCCAGGAAGAGGAGACAGGCAGGCACCTTTCATCTGCAGAACGGTCTCGCCAGCAGAGTCGACACAATCAGCGCGCCCGACGATGGCGCCAACGCCATTAACGCTAGCTGAAGAAGAGATATCGATGTCGGTCTCGGTTCGGTACACCTTGATCTCCTCAATCAGAGTAGGAATCACCATGCCATGCTTCTTGGTGTACCCCTTGGTGGCGGCTAGACTGAGAATCTGCAGACAGGCATCGACGAGGATCGGGTGAAGATGGTATCTCGCCATTTTGCTGGGGGTCTCGGCACAGAACTTGGGCCGGTAAACCTTCGCTGCCGCAGTCGGGTCAACAGTACCCGTCTTGATGTCTTGCAAAGCTTGGAAGTTGGGCCCGTAGCAAAGACCAGCCTGTTGCATCATATTGTACGCCTTGCGAGACCCCACACTCCGTGCCATGTTGGGAAACTCCCCAGCAACGTCGCGGCCATTGCGCTCGAGAGCTTTGACTTGCCCAACGCAATGCTTGGTCCAGGCCGAGCCGTTGTGAGACGAGATGGTGAACTCCCACCACTGTGCGTCGAGGGTATCCGTCAGACGGTGAGGACGCATAGTCGTAATGAGTTCAACGGGCTTGTCATCAGTGACTACCAGGGCAGTGCTGACAACAACATGGCGGAGAGCATAGCCATCGTCAACGCCAGTGACCTGTCGTACTGCTTCAGCAGCCATGGCGATGTAGCCCGCGAAAGGGAACACGATGTCCTCGACGATAACGTGGTCCCGGATCCATGCCGAATGCTCGAGATGAAACACATTACGCCACGAAGGTTCAATATCAGTGCTTTCGGCAATTCGCACACCCAAAAGCTCATGGTATGGGAACTTCCGGTGACGCCACTCCTTGGACAACCGGGATTCATACCAGTAGCTCTCCTCATGATCCCAGGCGTACCTCGGCAGGTCGGGGAGATAGGTCGGTGTCGTTTCCCTTGGCATCAATTTCTTGAAATCAATGGCCACGTTGAGTTGGTGCAGCTTTCCGATGGCGGAGAGATAGCTTTCGACGCAGTCCTGATTGCGCATCATGGAAGAGATGTACGGATGAGAAACATTATTCTTTGCCATGATTTGGCGCAGAGGACCGCCCATAGCAGCATGGGGACCAACTTCCAGGAATGCTGGCTTGCCAAGGTCCTTGTTTTGGAGAATCTTGGAGACAGCCGTAGCGAAGAGAACGGGGTTTTCGAGGTTGCTCTGCCAGTATCGCGGACCAAGTGTCTCACCCTCCTCAAGTAGATCGCCGCCGACACTGCTGTAGAAAAGGCAATCTATGTTGGGGCTTTGGTTTTGAACACCTCTCAAGAGCGCCATGTACTGCTCGCCAACCTCGGCCATGTGGTGGGAGTGGTAGGCCTTGTCTACCTTCAGCAGCCGGGCAAGAACTTCTTGTCCGTTCGGTGGAGACTCCTTGATCTTCTTGACAACTATCTCAACAGCATCTGTGTCGCCCGAGATGGTGACACTGCTGGGAGAGTTCTCACATGCCACAGTAGCTGTGGTATTCTCAAGGTAGGGCTTGACATCGTCCCAACCGAGACCAATCGCTGCCATGGCTCCCGCTTTCTTTTGAAGCTTCGCTACGAAGCCGCGGTAGAAAGCCACGATGATAGCATCTCGAGCCGTCAGAGCACCCGCAGCATAGGCGGCAGCTATCTCACCACTAGAGTGACCAACAACTGCGGCAGGCTTTACGCCGACCGAAGCGAGACTGTCGACCAAGCCAAGCTGGACCGCGGTGCAGAGGGGCTGAGAAACCTCGGCAAGATCAAGGCGACTCCTCTTGCCCCTCTTGAGAAGCTCTTTCTCAATAGAGAATTCTGAACTACCGAGAGCGTCTTGTAGGTAACCATCGAGGCGGCGGACAGTCGAGCGGAAAACGGAGTTGTCTTGCAGAAGAAGCTCGCTACCCATCGCAGGCCACTGAGCTCCCTGACCAGTGAAGACCATCACAATCTTGGGAGCCTGTTGCGGTGCTCTAGATGAAACAGAAGGAGCAATGCTGCCGCCTTTGCTAGCAATTGCGAAGCTTCGGTAGGAGTGGTGTTCTCTTCCGTTCGCCAGCGTGTATGCGATCTGGTCGAGCTTCTCAGCGTTGTTTTGGACGAAAGATTGATACGTTTCCGTAATCTTCTTCAGAGATTCCGAGGAGTTGGCGGAGAACAGAAGCAACTGGGGGTCACTGATGTCAACCGATGGCTTGGTGGCAGCGATTCCCTGTGACCTGGCTGATTCGAGGATAGCATGAGCGTTGGTTCCTCCGATTCCGAAAGAGTTGACACTAGCTCGCTCGTAGCCATCTTCAGGCCACGCAAGGGGCTCAGCAGCAATCTTGATGTTGCGTTCCTCGAACGCGATATTGGGGTTGAGCGGGGTGAACTTGATATTCGGAGGAATCGTTCGGTTCTCGAGGGCCATTACTGTCTTGATGAGCGAGGTCAGACCAGAAGCTCCCTCGGAGTGACCAAGATTAGGCTTGACGGAGCCGATATAGACGCCATTCTGTGAGCCGCCAAAAACACGAGCCACAGCGCCCGCTTCGATGGGGTCACCAATAGGAGTACCAGTGCCGTGGCACTCGACGAATGTGGTGTCCGAAAAGTCAGTGATACCAGCTCGGGCGTAAGCTTGTCTCATCCTGTGCAGATATTGGTCAGCCTTAGAACAAAGTGATAAGCGCATTCAATTCAAACAGTTACTTACAGAGCCTCGTGAGCCTCAGTGCTAGGAAGCGAGATACCGTTGGTTCGACCATCAAACTGAAGACAACTTTAGTCCTCGGAATGATCGCATGACAGTGTTGCAGCTTACGTTTGTGGCAGTTCCCTTGATGACCGCACGTACAGGGTTTCCATCTCTAAGCGCGGCGTCCAGGGGCTTCAGATAGACGGCGCAGACCGCCTCGCCACGGGCGTAGCCATTTGCCTCCGATGAGAAAGTCTTACACGAGCCATCTGCAGAGAGGACGCCCTGCTCCGTCATTGCCTGCGTCATACCAGGCGCCAGAATGAGGTTGACACCGCCAACGATGGCAGAGGTGCAATCACCTCTCTGTATGGCAGTGACCGCCTCGTGAAGGCCGACGAGAGCAGCAGAACATCCGGTTCGAAGGGTCATGCTGGAAGAATATCAGTAAAGCGCCTTGAAGCGTTCAATATGTCAGCATGAACGCACCTTGGGCCTTTGAGGTCCATCTCGTAGGCGACATTGTTGGAAAGCATGAAGTCACCGTAGCCGGCAACTCGGTAGAGACCGTGTTGCTGAGTGTCTTTGGCGAACATCTCACACCAATCCTCTCCGAAGCTGCCGACGTAGCATCCGATGAGTTTGCCGCGATAATTGGCCTCGCCAGCATCTTCGATACACTCTCTGGCTACTTCACTCATCTGGCGCTGGTGAGGGTCCTCTCTTTCAGTCGCTCCTCGAACAAAGCTGGAGAAGGCTCCATCACTCTTGCTAATGTCGTAGTCGAGGAAGTAGCCATACTCAGTTTTGACCGTACCAGGTCTGCCCGAGGGATCATAGAATGCATCGACGTTGTAACGGGACTCTGGAACACGAGTTCGCGCATCCCCTTTGGCGAGGAGAAAGTCCCACAACTGCTGAGGCGTGTGCAGGCCACCAGGCAGGCGACACGCCATACCGCAGATGGCAATCGGCTGATCATCGCGGTCGGCGGGAGAGTTGAGAGGGCGGTTGATCTTGTTGGTCTCATCAACTGCACTGCTGGGAGAGGACCCGAAGTGCGATGCATGGCCGTTCGAGGGCTCAGCTGTGGTGGTTGTACCATGGCCGTCTGCATGACTTGTGCCATCAACACCATGGGCGTGGTTGTCATGACCAGCTGCAGTGGTCCTTTCGGACCCAACCGTGTAGGTTCCATTGATTGCCATAGGAGCCATTGCGAAAGACTTTGAGTATTATGTAGGGGACTTTAACCTGTCGCTGGAAGGGTGATGTGGAGCGTGTGAGAGCGAATGTAGAGGCAGATGCTTTGTGTTGAAGGATAAGTCTTCTAGGCCATACGGCGGACTTCAGACGTCTTATAACTGTCAAAAGCGTATGTGAAATATCATGAACCGAAAGCTCGATACAGTTCGAGTTTCTCTGCGATTGCTTCAACATCATCTATCCGGATTACATCTCCAGTCTGCCGTGATGAACCCGGAACCCTTTTGGTGACCGGTCTATCTTGCCATTCCCCGGCGTGAGACGGTGGAATCCTGCCCGGAATGCGCCTCCTATCTCAGACCCGAAGTAAGCAGCATCTTGGCGCGGGCGTCTCCTCTTCAGTCAGGACAGACAACCAGAGAAGATGAACAGGTAGTGTGCAATTTCTCTAGAGACGAGCGCAAACTGCAACAATCGGACCGAGGGGCAAACGGAAACGGAATCCGAAGTGTATTAACCCCAAAGCCCCCCAAGCGTCAGGCGGCGGTGCCAAAACAACGTGAACGGGAAAAGGGCTGTGAGCAGCGGATCCCGTCACCATCAACAGGTAAAGTCTCCGAGAATTAGGCAACAGATATGGAAGGTCGTTAAAAGCAGAATACTAGAAAATGCTTGGAATTGCAAGGTGTTTCTTCAGAAACTGCGGGTTCCGCGGGCCAGTTACGCGACCACTGATGAACATGCTGTGCAAGCGCCGACGTGGGATAGTCTCTTGGCGGCATGACCGTGAGATGCGCCCAGGCTAAAGGATCATGACGCTCATAGTCAGTCAGCTTGCTGCACTCTCCAAGGTACCTATTTGCGCCTTTTTCTTATGCCCAGACTGAAGGATTGCGAGAGCCAGGTTTTACAAGCCTCATTGTGCCATCATGAACCAAACTCTCGTATGATGCGAGAGGAGTTTGGCTGGTCTGCGACGGACGGACGAAATACATCATATTTCGGGTTCATTTTGGTCTCGAAAACAAGTAGGAACCGTTTCTCAAATAATCCAAGCATGAGATGTATCCGCACAATCTTCAGCTGTGTAATTTGCATCAAGGGGGCTGGGCATGCTTGGCGCGCACTTGACCTGAATGCTCCAACTTCAGATGATTAAGCCTTATCCCCAAAGACACTTGTCTTAACGCCATTATGTTGGAAATCCCGTGGGGGTTATGTGTGACCAGAAACTCAAGAAGACAGCCTCATGCAAGTCTCAGACAAATTGGGCAATGATCATATTCACTCAGCAAGGGGTAATTGTAGCTATTTTGGTGCTCACTCAACAGTTGCTAGCGACAAGGCTTAGCGCAGTGGGACAGGTAGGGCGAGAATTGGCTGGGCACATACCCATCATTACATTACATCTTACTCTGTCGACTCACACATATGTACGCCGTACATCACTCAGCAGGGACGTGCTGGAAGTTGGTCCCATCTCATCGCGAAGAACATGACCCTGTTGGAGCAGCGCGGAAAAAAGGGCGGGGCGTCCCGCCAGTGGCTTTCCTACAAAAGATCCAAATTGTTTGGCGGCCGACAGATCAGGCAGATCAGCAACGACGCCGACTGGTGGCTCGTCCGTCCGAACGGCTCCTTCCTCGCTTACTCCTCCAAATTGGGAATGATGCCCTCCAGGGCGGCAGTTGGTCGATCAAATAGGCATCTGTCGTCTGAACAGTTGGATGATTAGACGCATGCCGCGCCACGGCCGAGACGCTAGCCGAACGTCTTCTTAGGGGGGCCATAGAAAATCATGTTTGTAAACGGAATGTTGGTGTGGCCCACAGAAGGATATCTGCAATGCTACCCATCAATGTGGACGGCGACGGCGTGCCCGTGGTAGTTCGCACTGTCACAAAGTCGCCAAGAAGACAGCCAAGAAACCATTGTATGCCCCCAATACAGCCAAAGATCCTGTCTCTTCCTAGGGCTGCGTCTCTGATGCTTCTGCCTCGAAGGATTCCGTAAGTGTTAATCCCTTTGGACACCGAAAGGACCTACCGTAGTGTGATTTGGTGTGAGCGGACTCCACACGCGGCAGCCAGGAGCTATCTGAGTGGCTAAAGCTCTCTCAAATGTGCCACCTCGTCGGCCGCAGGTCGAGCCGCTGTGCCTACGCCCTTCTGTTGGCCTTAGGGACAAGATGCCGTACAACTTCCAAAGCTTCTTTGATATAAGACGCGGGTTCCAAGTTCCGCGCGGTTCCACAAGAGGTCCACGCAAGCCGCTAGCCATCGCCGGGTTGCATTTCACATACAATTAGAAGACGAGCAGTGAATGATAGACGACGCACTGGGCCTTGATATCCGTTGGCTGATTTACCGCCTGCACCGACTTCGGCTACGTCACCATGTCACAGAAGAAACGATCCAGGGCCGGCTCCGGGCCTATCGAAGTGAGTTACTCCTTGAACTTTGTTTGTCGCATTCGCAAAGGCTCAGGCAGAGCGGATTGATTCTACTTCGCATTCGCATGCCATTCCATAGTCGCTAACAACAGGCAGGACAACACTTCAGATACCAGAGATCATCTAGGCAAGTTGGACGTTATAGCCCAGTGCTTAGACCTAGGCACACTGGGGAATCGAAGAACAACCACTGACGGGTAAATCACGATTTAGCATGCGACCAGTGTCGAATCAAGAAAATTCGCTGCGGAAAAGAGCGACCTAATTGCTCCAATTGCACTCGCATGAATCTCGATTGCAATTGGTCTGGTCATGGCAAGAAACCAAATCAGACTGTTATGCTGTAAGTTAATTCTGTTTACCTGCCCCTGTCAGATTGGTGGATCACTGCCCTGGAAGCATAGACATGCGCTCAAGTTGTAGCCCTGATTTCAATTGATTGACGCTATGCAGGAACAAATCTATCTCCAATATGGGAGAGCGTCTTCGGCTGATCGAAGGCAACATTTCCGGCATACAACGCTCTCTTCAGCGGCTTGACTCAAGCATGGCAAGTCGCCTTGGATCAGCCAGTGAAGACGTTGTTGCGTTCACAGGTACCGGCTGCAGCCCACCAAGAGGTACATCCAACCATGGCAGCAGCACCATCAGCAGCAGTAGCAGCTCGGTAGTGTCTGACATGTCCTCTCTTGGGTATCATATCGTCCGCGACGCCCAGGGACACGAACGCTGCATTGGGCCGTCTTCTCTATTGTCACTCATCCACAACATTGATGAACTTACAATACCAGAACCTGAAGGCGCCGGAACCAATGCGGCGGCAGCCCGCGAGATGATCAAGGAACTCGGCTACAGCACGGGCCAGCCACTGTATTCCAGCACACATGACGCCTCAGCAATCAAGGCTCCTCCGATGCTCATCGTCGAAGCCCTGATTGAGCCTTATTTTGAGTCGATCAACTCCCATTTGCCCATCTTCACCCGGGAGGGATTCCGCCGCCTGATGGACGCTTCCCGTGCGGAGGCCAACCCCGCATGCAACCGGCCATTCGCCATCTGTGCCAATAACATGGTACTATTGACGCTGTCAGCCAAAGCGTTGCACTCGCAGGCGAAGAGCACCTCACCGTCAAACCTGGAACCAATCACGGAGTCAATTGATGTCGAGCTTATCCAATCATTCATCAGCAATGCCAATCGCGCCATGGTCCAGGTTGAACAGTTACTCAGCCCTCGCCTGGTGAACGTCCAAGCTCTGCTATCTCTGGTAAGCACAGGGGAGCCCACTGAAAGCCGCTTTGCTGACAATTGAACGTAGTGTTTTGTGGCCCAAATGTGGCTTTCAGAGGATGTTTTCAATCTCGCATTGACTTTGGCAGCCCACGTAGCCAAGTCCATGGGCTTGTACCAACCACAAGCGTCGTCATTGACTGCATCCAGCCTAAGTTCTGAAGAAGTTCAGGAACGAAGAAATGTTTTACAGTGCCTGTACTGTCTTGACAAGGCTGTCTGCTGGAATATTGGGTCGTTGCCCAGCGCCTCCACCGACGTGGTGACGACAACAGAGTCGATGAAGCTGTTGGAAGAGCCGCCCTCCCTGATGGACGCCAAGTTTTCTCTTGCGCAAATCGAAGACGACCTGTACACAGTCTTCTATTCCAGGAACGCCGCCGTGCAGGACCACATCGCCATCAAAACAAGAGCCATCCGAGAACGACTAGAGGAGTGGAGAACGGCTTATCGTCTTGAAGAGCAAGACGGCTCATTCGGCACAGGCTCTCCGTTTTGCTCAAAGCTAGAGCTGGATATTCCCCTTCATTTTGCCCGGATGAGATTGATGTGGCCTTTCGTCAGAGAGCCAGAGGCAAGAGCCTTACTTCTTGACGACTGTCGCACAAGTCTCCAACTTCTTCAACAACTTTGGAACTCGACGTCAAACCACGATCATTACCCGAGTTTTGCATGGTAGGAACTCCTTCATACCAAGGTGTTTAAGGATAAGGACTAAAGTTTTGCAGGCTGATTGTATCCTTCCCCACAAACGTCATCTTTCATTTTGCTAGCCAGTTCGAAGATCCACAATTCCCCGTGGGTGACCTCGAACTACTAAACTTTCTCTTAACATCACTCCAAAACGTGTCCATGTTCGCGACAGAGAATTCTTACGTTGTCCGATTTTGCAGCTTCGTCAGAATCCTTACACGTCTCGCCCATGACATTGTCGACAGTAGAGACGCAACTTCTTCTCCGGAAGTGGTCCTCCACACCATGGAGGCTTCGCCGACACAAATACAGAGTCAAAGGGAACTGGACCATTCAAGACCAAGAGTCTTCGATGGACAAACAGTCATCAACACACAGGATGCTTTGCATCTGCACGAAGACCTGGATACGCTGATGACTATGTGGGAGAATGGTACCAATGCCTTTGCCGGCTTCTCCAGGACCAACGATCTGATGGTATTTGATGACTTTTCACCAAGCGTGGACAAAGGGCTGTGGGATCATTACAATCTTACAGGCGAGATTCACGCTGATAGGGCACAAGAGACGGATTTG